GCCAAGCCTCATCTCTCACGGACGAAAAGCCCCATGCTCGCCCATTCTCAACTATTTATTCGCTACTCGTCAACCAATCAGCAGTTCCCGCAAACATGCCGCCCAAAATTTAGCCTGGAGTCGCGTTGAATGTGTACCCTGGTTTTAAAACCGGGGTGCACATTCAGCTGAATGTGCATCAAAGGTTATCCCTTGACTGAGTGGGTTACGAGGTGTGCTTTCAACCCCTTCAAGTCGAAATTCGTTTCCCCCCTCCCCCGCAATTTCGTTTCCCCACGCCCCCGCAATTTCATTTCCCCCTCCCCGTCGAAATTCGTTTCCCCCCTCCCCCGCAATTTTGTTTCCCCCCTCCCCCGCAATTTCGTTTCCCCCCCCTCCCGCCAATCTGTTTCATCCCTCCCGCCATTTGGTTTCACCCACTCCCGCCATTTCACCCCCTCCCGCCACCTACGAAATGCCCGAAGCTCTAGCGGAATCATTTTTTTGTCGCCCCTCGTGAGCCAATCACTGTTTTTCTCCAACCCCCTTCCCAACATCTCAAGCCGAACCGCGTTGAATGTGCACCCTGGTTTTAAAGAATTTGACCTCGAAGCAGGAAAATCGAGATGTTGTTTGTTATCCTTATCGCGCCACCTGTCGCCACCTGTCGCGCCACCTGCCATACAAACACCTCATCGCATCAGGACGCGTTCTCTCTGGCTAGATCATGCAAAAATCGATCTAGCACCGTAACAAAACCTCGCGCATTGCACTTAAAACATCTGGACATTTCTTTTAACCACGTTGAGAACCGAACCTGCGTAGGATCGACCGCAGGGTCGCCGTTCAGTTGACGCGCCCTCGACTAACCATCCACAACCCCACCTTCTCGACATTCCCCCTTCTTGTCCACTCACTTCAGCATTTCTGTTTCACTTCTACGTGTTCCATGTTTTAATCTCGCTATTATCTTGCCAGCTAGTAGCTCAGCCTTCCCTATCTTCAAGGAGTCCTTATCTTGGCGTTCCCTGGTCCTTATCTGTTCGCTCCCTAACCCTTAAACTTCGCCATCGATGAGCTGTTTCTACAGATCTATCAGTTACCGCGCCGCCTGTCAGTTTTCTTAAATCTATACGCTTCTAATATATTTTATTGCTTCCCGTTATGTACCTTCCTCTGGCAGAAAACGAGTGTCAACACAACATGAGAGTCTTCGCCGACAGAATGATAATCAATCATGGTGAGTCGTACGGTTATGCGGATCTGATTTTGTTACCTAGATATGTTATACTCTGTTGAGAATAGTGGAATAAGTAGAAGTTAGGTTTAGGGCCTAGGCTTGGTAGCCTAGGCCAAGGGGGAGTCGAGAAAGTTGTGCCAAGAGAGGAAGTCGAGAATGGGAATGGTGTTCACTATAGCACTAGGGTACATATAGCAAACAGAGGATGCAAAGAAGGTGCACCACCAACAGTTTATAATAACTACACTAAACTACAGCTACAGGCAGTTACATATATATTCTAACACTCCCCCATAACTGCCTGCAGCAGGAGTTTGTGCAGAACACAACCTGCAGGGGTACACCAGCAACAGCAACAGCAGGCACGGTAACAGAGCAGGTACAGCAGCAAAGGGACAGGCGACAGCAAGACATTCCTGCCACCCCCTTACTCTCTTCCCCCCCCGACCACAGGAGGGGCAGCAGGGAGAGAAAGGAGGCGGGCTGGCTCTGGCTGGTCACCCCCTCCATCCCCTCACCCTCCCCCTCCCCCTCCCCCCCACACTGCTGCAGGAGCAGCAGAGGGGGGAAGAGAGGAGAGGTGGAGGGACGGCTGTTGGTTGGTCTCACACCCGCCACCCCAGTGCCACTCCCCCGGCTCCCCCACACCCTCACACCCTCCCCCCCAGCGGCAGCTGCAGCAGTGGGAATGAAAGGAGGAGGAGGGGAAGGGAAGCACACCACCCATCACCCCCACACCCGCCACCCCCATACCCTCCCCCCCACGGCTGCAGGGAGACGAAGGAGGAGGGGGTGGGCGGGGAGAAAGCCGCAGAGCGGCTACAGAGGGTCGGCGCGGGTAGGCCAGGGGCGGCTGCAGCGAGTGCAGGCGCGGGGTGAGGCAGAGGCGGCTGCACCGAGTGCAGGAGCGGGGGCGGCTGCTCCAAGGGCAGGCGCTGGGTGGTGCAGGGGCGGCTGCAGCGAGTGCAGGCGCGGGTGAGGCAGGGGCACCACCTCGGGCGCCAGGGGCGGGTCCGCGGCGGCTCAGGACACCGTCGCGGGTGCCAGGGGCGGTTCCACGGCGGCTCAGGGCACCGTCGCGGGCGCCAGAGGCGGGTCCGCGGCGGCTCAGGTCACCGTCGCGGGCGCCAGGGGCGGGTCCGCGGCGGCTCAGGGCACCGTCGCGGGCGCCAGGGGCGGTTCCGCGGCGGCTCAGGGCACCGTCGCGCACCACGGGGCACGCGACGGGCAGTTCAGGGCACCGTCGCGTGCCACGGGGCGCACGACGAGCAGGTAAAACGTCACGCGCCACCCGGGCGCCGGACAGAAGGAAATTCGCCACGCGCCCGCGGCGTGCGACCGGAAAAACAGCAGCGGAAGCTTGAGGCAGGCCCACAGGCCAGGACGTAACAGGCTCTAATGCCATGATGAGAATAGTGGAATAAGTAGAAGTTAGGTTTAGGGCCTAGGCTTGGTAGCCTAGGCCAAGGGGGAGTCGAGAAAGTTGTGCCAAGAGAGGAAGTCGAGAATGGGAATGGTGTTCACTATAGCACTAGGGTACATATAGCAAACAGAGGATGCAAAGAAGGTGCACCACCAACAGTTTATAATAACTACACTAAACTACAGCTACAGGCAGTTACATATATATTCTAACATACTCTGTCTCTCCGCCATTGCGATTTATCAAAGTCGTCTTTCCAAGCAGATTGTTGTTTCGTTTCCCCTATAACTTCGTCGTCTTTCCTTTGCTTATTCGCAGAACGGAAAGTGGAGATAATGGAGGTACACACGTGAAGTTTATTTTTATTATGCCATTCCTAAATCTGTTATACTCCGTCTCTTGTCTCTCCGCCATTGCGATTTATCAAAGTCGTCTTTCATCCGCTCGATGTTGTTTCATTTTCCCTATAACTTTGTAGTCTTTCCTTTGCTTATTCGCAGAACGGAAAGTGGAGATAATGGAGGTACGCACGTGAAGCTTTTTTAATTATGCCATTCCTAAATCTCTCTTGGTTCACTGAGTATTAAACGTGATGATTTCAGAGTGTCTACTTGCAGGGGGACTTTTTATTCGAGATTACATGGAAGTGAAGATCTTTTCATTATTCAGACATGCCCAATGTCATTCTAGTTCACTGCAGTGAAGGTGATTATGTCAAAACACATGCTGGTTTTTTTTAAAGCTGATGTATCACTTGAATATGGCATTTCACCCTCTAATGTGTGTTGGTTTTGTGCTGTCAGGTTATTTTAGCTGTGCTGTGCTTTGATTTATATATTTTCTGGAGCAAATGTACAAGGCCATGTTTCTTACGTAGTCATGATGTAGTTGTGGTATGGCGTTTGTTTTCTAATATATATATTATACATTTTTACAAATGAAAGCTAATTACGAAAATGGACACCCTGTAAAGAGGTTATAATGGACCTGGTAGCAATATGTAGTAATTGTTTGCTCTGTAAATATAGGTTTTGCAAAGTGTATTTTCACATAAATCAATGTTATAATGGACTAAATTATAACGAGGATCATTCCGAGTGTGTACAGTGCACGCAAAATATATTGTAGCCGATATAAACGTAAAACTTGTAACGGGAACCGGCGCACTCAATGACGGGGTTTAGGCGGATTGTGTGCTAGACACGTGTGACCTAAATCTGCCCTCATAGTTACTTTTGGGTCAGTCTATCTGACCCGTACCTGACTTTTCCCGCCAAATTCTGACCCGTACCCGACCCGTAACTGACCCGTACCTGACCCGAAAGTCACTTTTGGGTTACCCATTCTGACCTCAAACTAGCCTAAAGTGTCATTCCCAAAAGTAACTTTTGGGACATATTCCGAGATGTCCCGAATATTGCCGGGAAGTCACCTGGGGGCCCCTTTTGGGTCAGAACATTTTGGGGATGTTGTTGGCTACTATTAGCCCTTAGTCTGCTCTATGCGCACCACTTAAGTCACACTAAGTGATCTCCACCTGGCCTCGTCCTCGGGCCCACGGTTCTCCAAGTGTATACGCACTAGAGTAGTCCCACACTTAATTGCGCAGCGTCTTGTTGATCAATTGTCACGTCTCCAGAAATACTCTTCACGTCAATACGTTGAAAGAGGAATGATAATTCGTTGAGGATTAATCACAAAGAAACACAAGCACAATCTTATACTAACCCACCGAAATCAAAAGCTAACAGCCCACCGAAATGATAGCTGGAAACATACTTCGAAATGCCAGCTTTCACCATGCGAAATGAGTTGAAACATGCTCGCCCACACTTGTTCCTATGGGCCATACTTGCTCGCGAACGCTCGTGGACGCTCGTGGTGTTTCGTGGCGACAGCTCGTGACAGCTCACGGAAACACCTGACGATTTCGCGAAGTTACGTGACGGAATTGCGAAGTCGTCGAAATCCTCGTCGCACAATTCGCACCTGCGTCGAAATTAATCGCGCACTTCGTGAAACACCCTGGTGAGTTTTCTCCTCGGATAATGCAGACAAAAGGCTCGAGGGTCCCACGTAATCCAACCTGGACCCACGATTTCTCGGCCTTTTCCCTCGCGCCACCTGCACACCCCACTTGCGCGTGTGGCGAATCCATCTACAGCCTCAGGCCTCGCGTGTGCACATGCTGGCACACTACTACCACTTGGCGCCACTCCCATAATTGCGCCAGAATCAGTACAGTGCTCGGCACCCCTTCAATACCTTGACCAGGGGCGAAATTCCCCGAACTCCCATGAACAAACACGAAATAACGAACGCACTCATGAAAACACACGAAAACGCATCTCACAAACTTTACCTGAAAACTCATGAACTCACACGGAAATACATGAACACTTCACGAAACACTCATGAACATTCATGACACTTTCACGAACACTCGTGACTCGCAGAACACATGAAATAACACGAACACATCCGAACACACATGAACTCTCACATACTCAAACCTTCACGAAAACTCTCATAACTCATGAACCGATAAGGCGAATCACGAACCGTAAACGCTCAAACCTAAAGCACAGAAACTCCCATCTCATGAAACACAAATTACCTTAACTCCAAATGCCTCAGCCAGTTGAAAGTCGTGGGTGGTTGTTACGAACCACTCCAACAATCTCCCCTGTGGTTCGGCAACCACACACGCCACCATGCTCCTCTGCTCCTTGACATCTAACTCAGCTTCACACTCCCCTGCAGCTCCTTCAACTGACGAATCCCAACCTTCTCCTTGCAGTACTCGAAGTTAGACCTAGGTAACACCTTGGTCAAGAAATCCGCTGGTTGCTCATCAGTGGGAACAAACTCAAACTTGAATTGCTGCTTCTCAAGCTGCTCCCGCACCCAATGAAACTTCACATTCATGTGCTTCGTCCTCCCGTGCCAGTTGTCGTTTCTGGCCAAGTCAATGGCTGACTTGCTGTCTGACCTCACAATAGTAGGCCCCTCAACAGCGATCTCGAACTCTGTCAGCAACCTCCTCAGCCACACTCCCTCTTGGCACGCAAAGAACAGTGCCATATACTCAGCTTCAGCAGTTGACAGTGCTATGTCCGCCAATTTCTTTGCTTGCCACATGATGGCCGTGCCCCCAAGAAGGAACACATAACCATATGCACCTTTCCCTGTCTTCTTGTCCGATGCATGCGAGGCATCTGCATACCCCACCAGCTGCAAAGTCTCCTCCCCTCCCTCAAAGAGAAGACCCTCGTCTTCATGCTGCACCAAGTAACTAAGTGCTCGCTTCATCTCCCTCCATTTCCTTCCCTGCTGCACATGCTGCCCCAAATAGCTCGCCGCATACGCCATGTCGACCTTTGTGCATGAGACCGGATACATCACCGATCCCACCATCGACTGGTACATCTGCAGCGCCTTCTTTTCTCCTCCCCATTGCTTCACATCCTCTTCCTGCTCGGTATCATTGGTTGCCATGCCGCTGAGTGGTGTAGTAATCTCCTTGGTGTAACCCTGGCCGAACCTCTGCTGCACCCGGTTGCAATACTTCTTTTGGTACAAGAAGAGTTTCTTCTCTTCCATGTTCCGCTCCAGGTTCATCCCCAGAAACAGTGTCGTCCTAGGAATCTGCTTCACCTGAAAAACTTCAGCTAGGTGCTCACACACCTTCTCCACCTCAGTCGGTAATGCTCCTGCTATGAGGATATCATCCACATAGAGCAGCAAGTACACCTTCTCTTCTCCTTCTCCCCTCCAATAGAATGCTCGGTCACATTCACTTTTCTGAAACCCTCCTTTCAGCAGCCTCTCATCCATCGCCTTGTACCACTCTCGTGGACTCTGCTGCAGCCCATATAGCGCCTTCAACAACTTACACTTCCTGTCCGTGCCATCCTCAAACCCGGTTGGCTGATCCATGTACAGCTCCTCCCTCACTACCCCATGCAGAAACGCATTCTTGATGTCCAACTGCACCAAGAAATAGCCCCTTGCCGCTACCACCTTTAGAAATGCTCTTGCAGTTGTAAGCTTGCTCACGGGGGCGTAAGTCTCGGTGTAGTCAATCCCCTCGACCGGAGTATACCCTTTTGCCACCAGCCTTGCCTTAAAGCGCTCCAGCTGCCCCATGTCCCCTGTCTTAATCTTGAATATCCACTTCACCCCCACTGCTGCCCTTCCTTCCGGCATAGGCACTAACTCCCAAGTGCCTCTCTCTGCTAGTGTATCCAGCTCCTCCTGAATTGCAGCCATCCACTGCTCCTTTTGTGGTCCTGCCAAGGCCTCCTCTACCGTCATGGGCTCCTTAGGCAGGTCATGTTTCTCCATTAGTCCTTGTGTCAGCAGCGCCGTTGCTGTTGCTGTGAATAAAAGATGGGTCTTCACATCCTTCCGAGGGGTCATGACCAGGGAAACAAATCTGCGAGTTCTCTTCTTAACCCTCATACCGCGCCCCATTTCCTCAGCAATTGACTCGTCCTTACTCACGTCCTTTGTCGCTGCATATATCTCGTCAAGCCCTCGTTCTTTTCCTAGCACCATGGCTCCATCCTCCAGCAGCTCATCAATCTCCTTAGCAGCTTCACTGCTAGAATCACTCTCAATCAGCTTCCACGGATCATGCTCATCACCCTTTGCTGACCCTTCACTGCTGTCCCCAAGCTCCACACATTGATCTTCCTCCTCAGCACCCGTCTCTCCATGCTCTACTTCCTGATGCCCATCTTTCTCCATTACTGCTGCCTCCTCTACAACCCTCTTGTCCTGTGAATCCAATGCCCAAAGAACTCCATCTGCTGGTTGCTCCACGTCATCTCCTATCGCGTCATCATCACTTCCTATCCCCTCAATCTCCTTCTCCTCTAGCAGCTTCTCCACCTTATCAAGCACGGCTGCCGCTCCCATTGCTATCTCCTTGTTCACTCCCTTCCACTGTAGATAGTTGACGTTCTCGTAGAAAATCACATCCCTCGTCACAACCATCTTCCCCGTCTCCACATCCTTTATCACCCAGCCCTTGCTCACCTTGCACATCCCAAGGTTGATTCCCCACTTGCTCCTTGGTAGGAGCTTGTGGTCCGGTCCAGCTGGCTCCCTATACTGAGCCATGCAGCCCCACACCCTCACAAACCCCATGTTCGGCTTCCTCCCATAGAAAGCCTCATGCGGAGTAGTATCTGCTGCAAGGCCTTTGGTAGGCAATCTGTTCTTCACCCAGCATGCCACCCCCAAGGCATCTCCCCAATACTTCAGTGGAAGACCGCTATCAGCTAGCATGGTCCTCACACTATCCAATAGTGACCTGTTTACCCTCTCTGCAATGTTGTTGTGCTGTGGGGTGTATGGTACCGTTAGCTGCCTCAGTATCCCCTTCGTACGCAGAAAACTGTTGAACTCCGCATTCACAAACTCCCCACCGTTATCAGTCCTTAACACCTTCAGCTGCTTCCCACTCTGCCTTTCAGCTTCCGCCATCCAGTCCAGAAAACTGGAAAACACCTCTGTCTTATCCTTGATCTCTGTCACCCACGTGTGCCTAGTTCCTAGGTCAGTGAAAGTGACGAAGTACCGGCTTCCATGCCTAGAAGTTTCCCTCAACGGCCCGCACACATCAGCTGCCACTATCTCCATTGCGCCGTAGGGCTCCTGAACCTGGTGTATGGGATGGGGGGTTTTTGAGATCTTGCCTTCCACACACTTGCCGCACCTCCCTTTACTCCCATCTCCTTCCTTCAGCTCCACACCAGCTGCCATGCCCTTCTTCACGAGCTCCTTAATCCGCTCCATCCCCGCATGTCCTAGACGCCTATGCAAGGTCTCTAGATCCACTTTTGCAGCTGTTGCCACCATTGCAACAGCTTCCACCTGTAGCTCCTCTACCAGTACTCCTTTTAGCTTCGCCTTCAACTCCTCCCTCGCCATCACTCCCTCCTTCGGTGGTGGCTGGTAGGTAGCCTTCTCAGCAGCCAAGACTTTCTCATTCAGCTTCATCTCGTACAACCCATCATTCCTCATCCCCTCAGCAATAACATTCCATGCATGATCAAACACCCACATCTTCCCTTTGTCACTGAAGGTCTTACACCCGGTGCTGTCCAACTGTGATTGACTTATCAGATTCAAAGCCAATCCATCCACAAACAGCACATTCTCCAACTTCAATTCCCCATACTGTCCTTGCAACACCAGCTCTCCCTCACCCTTCACAGGCAATTTCCCTTCATTGCCCAATATCACATAAGGCACACTTGACTCCCTCATTCCAGTCAACCACTCACTATGATTCGTCATGTGCTGAGTGCACCCGCTGTCCATGAACCACGCAGCGTCTCCACCTCCTTTTGCCAGCATGCACACCTCTGATGCATGCGCCACATTTGCCTTGTGTGCACCACCCAGAATGACATCCTCTTTGTCATTCTCCGCTGCAGCTGCTGCATTCGCTTTAGGAGGCGTTGTTCCCTGCTGCTGTGGTCCCTTATAACTTCGGCTGTTGGGATTAGAGTAGCAGTCAATCGCCCTGTGCCCAATCTTCTTGCAATGGTGGCATGCTCCACCAAACTTCCCTTTTGGTCCCCTTCCATTTCCAGCACCACTATGCTGTGCTCCGCTCCATCCCGCACCGTTCCCCTTGTAATTTCTGCTTCTTGGGTTCTCCACGCACTCAAACGCACGGTGCCCCATCCTACCACACTGGTAACACACTCCCGAGGTTCTTCCCGCAGCTGCCGCATTCACCAATACAGGTTTCTCCTGCTCCATGCCGTCAACAGCTTTCTCCCTCCGCTTGGAATCTTCTCGTGACAACTCCAACGCTTGAAGCATCTCGAGTAGCCTCGTCATGTTTGCAGGCGGGTTGCAGATCAGCGCCGGCTTCTCTCCCGCCCAATCCTTTGGTAGCCCGTTGATGATATATCCCATCATCGCCCACTCACTTTCCTCCGCACCCATCGCAGCCAAGTCGTCATTGTAGCTCCTAGCAAGGTTGATGTAGTCAATGATCTTCTGATTCGGCTCCATGCTCATCAGCAGCAATTTCCTTCGTACCGCAGCTATGTTGCTCTCCATTTGGCCTAGGTAGGCCGACTCCATGTACGCCCATGCTTGCCGTGCAGGGTCTTCATGTTCTGCAAACTGATCCATACCCACAGCAATTCCATCAGAAACTGAGTGGCACAACTGAAAGAATGCTTGCTCACTCCTCCTTTTGTATGCCGCTTTTTCTTCATCCGTTTTTGCCGCCCATGAAGCTTATTTTCCTGCTTCAACCGCACGGTAGAGCTCCCAGAAGCCGACCTCCTTCGCCCTCCGTATAAACTTCAAACGCCACGTGCTGTAGTTCTTCCCGTTGAAACGCTGAGCCTCGCTTAGCCCTATGGTAGGTTTCGCCACTACCGATCCGTGCGCTAGCATTTCTAGAAGAGCCTTCACTTGGGGATCTCCAATGCTCACAGAGGAGCCCGAACTAGCCTCCGATTGACCACCCGTCATCTTGAAGGCTTCGTCCGCTCTTAAGAATGCTAAAACGCCACTTCAACCAGCTCTGATACCACTTGTTGGCTACTATTAGCCCTTAGTCTGCTCTATGTGCACCACTTAAGTCACACTAAGTGATCTCCACCTGGCCTCGTCCTCGGGCCCACGGTTCTCCAAGTGTATACGCACTAGAGTAGTCCCACACTTAATTGCGCAGCGTCTTGTTGATCAATTGTCACGTCTCCAGAAATACTCTTCACGTCAATACGTTGAAAGAGGAATGATAATTCGTTGAGGATTAATCACAAAGAAACACAAGCACAATCTTATACTAACCCACCGAAATCAAAAGCTAACAGCCCACCGAAATGATAGCTGGAAACATACTTCGAAATGCCAGCTTTCACCATGCGAAATGAGTTGAAACATGCTCGCCCACACTTGTTCCTATGGGCCATACTTGCTCGCGAACGCTCGTGGACGCTCGTGGTGTTTCGTGGCGACAGCTCGTGACAGCTCACGGAAACACCTGACGATTTCGCGAAGTTACGTGACGGAATTGCGAAGTCGTCGAAATCCTCGTCGCACAATTCGCACCTGCGTCGAAATTAATCGCGCACTTCGTGAAACACCCTGGTGAGTTTTCTCCTCGGATAATGCAGACAAAAGGCTCGAGGGTCCCACGTAATCCAACCTGGACCCACGATTTCTCGGCCTTTTCCCTCGCGCCACCTGCACACCCCACTTGCGCGTGTGGCGAATCCATCTACAGCCTCAGGCCTCGCGTGTGCACATGCTGGCACACTACTACCACTTGGCGCCACTCCCATAATTGCGCCAGAATCAGTACAGTGCTCGGCACCCCTTCAATACCTTGACCAGGGGCGAAATTCCCCGAACTCCCATGAACAAACACGAAATAACGAACGCACTCATGAAAACACACGAAAACGCATCTCACAAACTTTACCTGAAAACTCATGAACTCACACGGAAATACATGAACACTTCACGAAACACTCATGAACATTCATGACACTTTCACGAACACTCGTGACTCGCAGAACACATGAAATAACACGAACACATCCGAACACACATGAACTCTCACATACTCAAACCTTCACGAAAACTCTCATAACTCATGAACCGATAAGGCGAATCACGAACCGTAAACGCTCAAACCTAAAGCACAGAAACTCCCATCTCATGAAACACAAATTACCTTAACTCCAAATGCCTCAGCCAGTTGAAAGTCGTGGGTGGTTGTTACGAACCACTCCAACAAACCTGTTCGACTCGGAGGACCCTCGCGAGCGGGGCTATTTGAAGACTATTATGCACCAGATTTACTTGAAATTCATGGTTCATCGGCTTTTCATCCGCGAAGCGATAAACAGGATTTTTTACCAGTTTATAAAGTCGGAGCGGCATAATGGTATCGCGGAGCTGTTGGAGTTTCTAGGGGATATTCTGAAAGGATTTGTGATGCCGGTTAGTAAGGAGGAGAGAAAGCAGATCCTGGAGCGAGCGCTGGTTCCGCTGCACAAGCCTAAGTGCGTGTCGATGTACCACCGGCAGCTGTCGTACTGCATCACTCAGTTTGTGGAAAAAGACCCGAATCTTGCGGATTCGGTGCTGGTCGGGTTGCTTGAGTTCTGGCCATTAAGTAACAGCCAGAATGAGCTGCTTTTCCTGGAAGAGTTGGAGAAGATTTTGGAGCTCACGCAGGAGCTCGAGTTCCACTTGGTGATGACGCCGCTGTTCCAGCAGATCGCGCTCTGCCTCAGCTCCTCTAACTTCCAGGTACGGTGGTATGGGGGGGTGTCCGGGTGTGATGCTGTTCGTGGGGATGTGACACGGTGGTCGGTTCGAGAGGGTGTGGCTAGGTGTGAGGACGTGTGAATGGGTATCATGGCATGCATTTTCATGCAGAAGCCGCTGGTCATGATGCAGCTGTTTCAGCTGTGTCACAGCTCCTCGCACGAAGCTCCCACCCAATTACAGGTATGGTGTGATGCGGTGTAATATGGTGTGACGGGGTGCGATGCGTTCTGGCTCAAGAACATGAGCTGTCAAATGGTCGTGACACGGCTGTTCTAGCAGAGAATACGGGTTGTGACAGGGACCAAAGGGGCGTGATACGGTGATGGGGTGTGAGGAGGTGTGACGGGGTGTGATGGAGTGGGGCACATCATGCAAGCTTCCGAGCTCCAGGGGAGCATGATGCCGCTCTTCTGGCGTCCAATGCCTACAACGCTCTCGCCATTATGTTCCTCAAACTTACATTATTTCATAATTCAGCTTCGATGCTTGAATACGTATTGTATGGCATTCCAAGTTGGAGAGGCTTTAAGCATTCTCAGAAACGAACCGACAGCGACCAGAGCTGGGATAAAGTGAGTGGGGCTCGCGATTTTTACTGTCTTTATGGGTGTGACATTAGGCTTTGACCAATGCGATGGTCCGTTGTCTGTCTGACGTGTCATGTGACACCCTACCTTAGACCCCCCCTATGTCACAGTTCACATTCCATGCCCCATATATACACCCCACCACCCCTCCAGCCTCCCCCTCCTCCGCCCCATTTACCTTTCCCCCATGCAGGTGGCGAAGCGCACACTGCTTCGATGCATCGTGACGCTCTGGCGCGGAACTATTATGTCTCTCTTCCACCTTCCTCCCCCCGCGAACTCCATTTCCCTTTTCCCCGTCGAAAGTGAAGTGGGAGGGATTTCAACCCCCTCCACGTCCGCTGTACTTGCCGGGGAAGGGAAGGGAACTATTATGCAGGTGGCGAAGCGCATGCTGCTTCGTCATGCTCTCGCGAGCTTCAATCCGACACAATGGCATTTCGCCACTGAAAAGGGGGAAGGGAAGGGAAGGGAAGGGAACTATTATGCAGGTGCTGAACGAACATGTCTCTCCCTCCACCCTCCCCCCCTCCCCCCCTCCTCCCCCCCCCCCAACTCCATTCCCCTTCTTGCTTCAGGTGGTGGAGCGCACGCTGCGCCTGTGGAGCAACGACTACATCGTGGCGCTCGTGGCTCAGAACCAGGACACCATCTTGCCGCTCATCGTTTCTGCTCTCGAGTGCGCTGAAAGCCACCAGAATCAGGTATAGTGTGGGCATTGAGCCTTGTGTAGTGCTTGGCCAGTGCTGATTGCTTCTGAACCGAAACGAGCGGTGGTTCGTTGGCAACTGCAGGTATACATGTGCAACGAGGCGAGCTTCTCCGCTTGGCTCGTACGGTGGACTCGTTCAAGGACGAGTGACGAGTTTGTTTAGTGTGGGAAACTCGTCCGAGCCGAGCCGAGTTTTGCTCGGCGAGTTTTAGAGTTCCGCCGAGCCCTCGTCACTTCGACGTGCCTTTCTAACAATCGCGCGAGCTTCTTTCACTCGTCGACCTTGCGGATCGACGGTTTTGGCCACCAAACCACGCGAATTGGCGATTTTGCCCGTCAGTCCGCATGAATTGGCGATTTTGCCCGCCGACGTGCGCAGATCGGCGATTTTCGCTGCGCAGATCGGGGGAGGTGTTGCTTTTGGTCGAGAAAAACCAAGATGCCTCCAACAAATTTGCCACCTGAGTTCCCAACCTATTCGCCACCACTTACTTCGGTGCACCGCACTGAATCTACAAAACCCAACCTGCAGCTCCAAATTCAGATCCCGTCGTTCTTGGCACCAGCCTATAGCCCATCGCACAACCCCCCTCCCTCCCCCCCCGATATGCCTTACTTAGCGCGTCCATGTAATGTAGGACTGCGTTCGTTTGTCGACCTGAACTGTTCGTTTGTGAAGATACTTAAAAGTTTAAAACCCATGTAAGATCCACTCGGCCGAGCTTTTAAAAAAACTAGGCCGAGCTCTTTGTAAAGCTCGTCAAACTAGACGAGTGACGAGTATGGCTTTTAGCAGGAAAAGCTCGTCCTAGCAAAACCCGGCTCGTGTCATTGCTCGCACGAGCTTGACCCGACGGGCCGAGTTTTGCTCGGCTCGTGCCAATGCACATGTATAAGTGCAGGTGCAGCGTGTGTAGGCCTTGGCTGTTTGGACAGGCTGTGGCACACGCTGTAACTAGTGCAGTGATCCCGTCCTCCTAGTGACCAGCTTGGCTGTGACTCATGAATAAATGCGGTCTGTAACTCTATTCATTGTATTTATTGCCATCCCATGCTCTTTTGCATGCTATTTGGCAGGTTGAGCATGGCATTCAGCATCACACCACCAACGGCAAGAAGGTTTCAACCGATGCCTGCGTCAACCACGACCAAATCCTCTCGCTTCACAGGAAGGTGAAGGCGGCGATCAAGAAGTATCTGGATGACACACCTGACGACCAGCTGCCGTCTTGGGATGAGCATTACCAGGGATGGGTATTTGGACCGACGGGCACCGTTGTCATCTCGGGCAGCGGCTTTCCGAATCACATCCCCGACGGCGCTGATCCCGACAAGAGGGACAAGGAGGAGGCAGAGGTCCTGGTGAAGTATTGCAGGATGCAGGCCGCCAAGGACGAGGCCAAGAAAAGTCGTCAGGCGCAGAGTGATGGTCGTGATGACGAGGATGACGAGGAAGGCAATTGGATGGATGAAGGGGATGATGAGTATTGAGTGCATGGGTGATGTGGTGGTTTATTGGTGATGATGACTGCTATGTGGCAATAATGTGCTTATTTGAGTGTAGCGTAGTATGGTAGAGTAGGTGGTAGTAATGTATTGTAGGTTCAATAATGTTTTTTGGCAATAAAACGCTGGAAATTGGTTGCCGAAAGCATACGAATAAGACGCTGGGAATAATTAACATACAGAAGCCAGAATCATATTGTTTATATAAGAAAATGGTACTTTTTGTCCAACAAAAACATGTCCAAACTTCAATAGAAAAAGATACAATCAGGAAATCTAAAACATACCTAGTGCCTACTGTTTGGAAACCAGAAAGGTACTGAAAGGCTACTACTCATTCCTCGCATGTTCCAAATCCGCCTTGAGGAATGCCCGGGCATGGCAGACTACATCTCTGAAATCCGCAACATCCATGAGGAGCTCAAGGACATTGGGATCACCTTCCCCGAACAGGCACCTGCTGCTGGGCTTCTCGTCGGACTCACCCCGGCCTACAACGTCACCAGTTCCATGCTCAAGCAGCTCCCCACCAAGGAACTCACCTTCGAGAAAGTCACTTCGGCCCTTCTCTCTGCGGAAAAGGACCTTGCAGCCCAGGCATCAGTCAATGCTGTGCGCTACTCCCTTGGCATTCCATTTCGTTCCCACCAGGGCCAGAGGCGCAACTCCTTTCCCCCATGCCAGTACCTCATTAGGAAGGGTCCACGTGCGGGGCAGAAATGCAACGGCACCAACCACCCTGAGGCCACTTGCTTCAAGAAGCGAGATGACGAGTGGTATGACATCCATGGTGTCTCCAAGGACAAGCGCCCTCCCAACTGGGCACCACCCCGTCGCGTGAACCAGGTCGAGGCAGTGGAGGAACCTGCTCAGGCATTTGCTAGCGCCCCATCTGATGTTCGCCTTAACCTGTTGTTCTCTGGTGCTGGTCTTATTAATGAGAAGGGGTCGCAGTACATCGCTGTTTCAACCACACAGGGAATCGAGTTCATACTAGACAGTGGTGCCACCCACACAGTGCTTAAACACCAAACCGCCTTCGTTCCCTACCAGGCTCCCACCTCACTCCTTGGAGCAGATTCTAGCTTCTCCATCCAATGCCATGGCTCCTCCACAGTTTCCTGTCCAGCATTCCCATCTGGCACAGTCACTGGCATCTGTGCCCCAACCCTCCGCTACAACCTTCTTGCACAGCGGGAAATCCAACACGCAGGCGTGATCACCATCTTTCCCAATGATGTTGACTACTGTGACATGTTTGACGCCAAAACCGGACTCCATCTTGCCCGCTTCACCCTCAACTCCAACAACCTGTACACACTAGTTGTACCTCCCGTTCAAACATGCTCCCTCACCAACCTTCCGCTTCCATCCTCAGACTCCCCCTCATGTCACTGCCGCCTCCTCACTGACAAGACTATGCTATTTCATAACCGCCTCGGCCACATCAACTTCCGCGCACTTTCCGACCTTGCCACCAAGCAACTCCTTCATGGACTGCCCGCCTCACTTCCACAACCCCCCTCTCTTTCTGGACCGCCTTGCCTTGACTGTGCACAGAGCAAGCTTTGGGAACAGCCCCATCCTCCCACTGAGTCCATCTCTACCGCACCTCTCGATCGCGTACACATGGACCTTTGGGGTCCAGCTCCTGTTCGTTCCCGTGGCGGACACTTCTACTTCCTTGTCATCGTTGATGACTATTCCCGCTATGTGTCTGTTCACCTTCTCACCGCCAAGTCTGAAGCCCCAGCCATCATCATGGAATGGGCCAGGCAGGCTCATTCACACTTCAACACCAAAATCAAGTTTCTTCACTCTGACGGTGGCGGTGAATTCCGCAACAACACTCTCAAAGCTTTCTGCTCTACTGAGGGTATCCAACAGACCTTCACTCTCCCAGACAGCCCTCAACAGAACGGTGTTGCTGAAAGCCGAAACCGCATCCTGGTGCAGATTGCTCGCTGCCTCCTCACTCATGCTTCCGCCCCTCCCTCTCTTTGGGGATATGCCATGCTCCATGCTGCCGCCCTCCACAATCTCCATCCTCATCCTCACCACACCCACACCACCCCCGCAGAGCTGTGGACGGGTCACAAGCCGTCCGTCCGCCCTCTTCGTGTATGGGGGTGCACTTCCTATGTCCTCCTCAACTCCCAAGCCCGTCGTGCAGCTGGCGGCAAGCTTGCTCCAAAAACAATCACGTGCGTGTACCTCGGGCACAACTTGGACTCACCAGACTACCTCTTCCTCCATCCTACCACCAACAAACTCTATCGCAGCCGAGATGTTTTCTTCGATGAATCCCACCCATTCTACCCCTCCTCCACGGTTTCTCCTTCTCCTCCTCCTCTTTCTCTAACTTGGGCTGACTTTGACAGCCTTCCTCCTGCCACCACTCCATCTCCTCCTCTTCCCGCTCCCTCCACAGTTTCCGACCCCCCGTCACCCGCTTCCCCATCCAGCACCACGCAGTCTCCCCAGCTCCTTCCCGCCCCCGAGCCCATTCCTCTCAAAACCTACCAACGCCGTCCTCCTGCTGCTGCTCCTGCTCCTGATCCACCTCCTGCTCCTGATCTGGCTCCTGCTCCTGATTCAGCTACTGCTCCTGATGCTGCCACTACACCTCCTGCTTCTCCTCCTCCAGCTCCGCCTCCCTCCCCCATCGCTGGCCGCACCCGCTCGCACAAAGCTCCCAAGCCTCTTTCCCTTTCCATTCGTGTCTCTCTCAATCCTCCTCCTGTCGGGGGTGATTATTCGCTCATGCCCTCCCTTCTTGAGGACAGACATGAGGAGTTGATTGACATTGACTCAGCCATACACGCGCTCTGCTCTCTCTTTCCAGATATCGCAGAATCTCCCACCCTCAACTTCTCAGACAACCCCTCCATCCCCACACCTCTCACCTATGCTGAAGCAGTTTCTGGTCCTAACGCCGCTCAGTGGATAGGGGCCATTATCGCAGAGTGTGAGGCCTTCATTCACACAGGGACTTTCACAGATATCATTCCTCCCTCCGGCGTCAACATTGTGAAGGGAAAAATGGGTTTTCCGGGTGAAACAACTTCCAGGCGAATTTCCTGTCTTCAAAGCCCGGTACTGTGCCAAGGGATTTACCCAAAAGCGTGGACTGGACTTCTTTGAGACATTCTCTCCCACTGCCAAACCTCCCACACTGCGAACCCTTCTCGATGTGGCCGCTCGAGATGACATGGAGGTTGACTGCATGGATGTGTCTTCTGCGTTTCTGCAAGGGATCCTTCGAGAGGAAATCTACATGGAGCGGCCCGAAGGATTTCCAGCTCCTTTTCCACCAGGCACTGTATGGAACCTGAATCGACCTGTATATGGCCTCAAGCAAGCACCCCGGGAATGGCACAACAAGCTCAAGAGCATCTTAGGGTCCCTCGACTTTCACCCATCCACCTCTGACCCCAGCCTCTTCATCCGAGCAACACCATCCCGCTTCTTCATCTTGGTTTATGTCGATGACATGATCCTTGTCACCAAGGATCAGATTGAGCTGGCAGCAGTCAAAACCGCACTTGGTGAGAAGCTGGCCATGAAGGATCTTGGGAAGCTGACGAACTATCTGGGCATGGAAATCACACGTGATCGCACGGCCCGCACTATCACCCTCTCGCAGAAGTTCTACATCAACAACGTTCTGACAAGGTTCAAGATGCAGGAAGCAGCTTCAATGCCCACCCCACTCTCTCTGCAGCACCGACTCACTGCACCCTCTGTTCCCTCACCTGAGCCCTGCGATGAGGCTTACCCCGAGCTCGTTGGTTCCCTCATGTACGCGATGATGTGCACTCGACCAGACTTGGCCTATCCAGTCAGTGTCCTGTCTCGCTACGTTGCACCTGGTCGCTTCACGAGCCACCACTGGTCTGCCGCCAAGCGGGTCCTCCGCTATCTCAAAGGCACACACGACTATGTGCTCACTCTTGGCGGCTCTTCCCCTGTTTGCCTTGAGGGGTACAGTGACTCGTCCTATGCTGATGACCAGAGTGATCGGCGCTCTTCCCAAGGGTATTGCTTTACCCTCGGCAGTGGGGTTGTCAGTTGGCGCTCCACTCGGTCGTCTTCCGTCTCACTGTCGACCTGTGAGGCAGAGCTGTATGCCGGGACCATGGCTGCCCAGGAGGCCCGTTGGCTCTCCTTCTTGCTGGCAGAACTTGGGTATCCTCAACCAGCCCCAACGCTTTGGTGTGACAACGAGAGCACCATTCATCTCACCAAGGACCCCGTCTTCCACGGCCGCACCAAGCACATTGAAGTCCGTCACTACTTTCTTCGTGAGCTGGTGCAGCGCGAGCAGCTGAAGGCTGAACACATTGCCTCCGACTGCAACCTTGCTGACTTGTTTACCAAGTCTCTTGTTCGTCAAGACCACTACCGCCTCCTCTCGTCCATGGGTGTTGGACCGCCATGTGGCTGAAGTGTTGTCAGCCTAGGGGGTGTGTTAGAAATAGTCAGTCAACACTTTGTACTATATTCTATATCGGTTAGGTTACTTTGTAGGTTGGGTGTAGATTTGTAATCCCAACCCTATCTGGTTGGGATTCCCTCGTAATCCTGCAAATCTGCCAACTCACCAATTGGAGATTTGCTAGGATTCCCATCCCATCCTTTCCCTAGCTTTGCTCAACCCAACCGTGTTTGTACTTAAGGCCTCATGCCTTCCTTATCAATCAATCAGTTCAGTTCCAATTCTATCAACCCTCCCTACTCTTCTTTCAAATGGGTGAACTCCCTGTCGTCGTGTCCCCTCCTCACTGCCACAATTCCATCTGCCTCTTCCGGTCCGCCACTCCCTTTGACCACTCCCTCTCTCTGCTGCCTTCTCCTTCTTCCGTCTGCTAATCCTCACTCTCTCCCCTGCTCCTTGCCCCCTCGCCCTCCTGCTGTGCCCCCGCTGCGGCACCCCCCACCTGTGCCTTGCACCCCTCACACCTGTGATCACCCTTCAATCCATCTGCCAGTGCCTTTCCTTCTCTTTCCTTGCCCTCCCTTCCACCCGCTCCTGCCCTCCCGCTCTCCCCACACAGGCAAGTGCCGCCACAGCCGCACCTCCTCCGGTGCCTCTTCCACGGCAAGGGCTCGCCTTGCTCTGATGACCTACTGCAGCTGCTGGTGGTGATGGTGTTGGTGCAGTGTGTCGAGCTGCACAGTTGAGCGACGGGGGCGGCAGAGTAGAGGGGATACTTGTGTCAGGCATAGTTCAAAGTGAGAGGAGTGCTTCTGCTGCCACTCAACCACTCCCACATGTGCCTTCCACGGCAACCACTCGCCTTCCACTGAAGATCAATTGTTGGCAGGCGGCGCGTGGTGGAATTGCACAGGTGAGGGGCGAAGGGCAGGGGAGCAGAAAGGAGGGTTGTGAGGCATGGGTTTGAGTGCTAGGAGTGTCTTAGCTGCTGCACCTCCTCCTGTGCCTTCCACAGCAGTGCCTCGCCTTCCTCTGAGGACCGCTTGGGGGGGCAGTATGTGGATCTGCACAGGTAAGGAGGGGGGAGAAGGGGGGGCATGGCGGAGGGAAAGGAGAAGAAGTGGGAGGAAGGGTGGGAGGGGGGATGGGAAAGAGGAGGGGAGAGGGATGGGAAAGAGGAGGGGAGAGGGATGGGAAAGAGGAGGGGAGAGGGATGGGGGGAGGTGAGGGGAGAGGAGAGGGGGAAGGGAGACGGACGAGGGGAGGAGCGGGGAGAGGATGAGGGGAGGAGAGCGAAGGGGAGGGAAGAGGAGGGGTGGGGAGAGGAGGGGAGGGGAGGGAAGGGGAGGGGAGGGGAGGGGAGGAAAGGGGAGCGGAGGGGAGGTGAAGGGAGGGGAGGGGAGGGGAGGGGAGGTGAAGGGAGGGGAGGGGAGGGGAGGGGAGGGGAGGGGAGGGGAGGGGAGGGGAGGGGAGAGGAGGGGAGGTGGCTCGCGTTGCGCAATACAACGGCCCTGGCAAGGTAACTTGCAAGGAGGCACATGCACAGGGACTGGGACAAGCGAGGCCCTCACTATTTTTGAGGCGCCTCGAAATGAGACTGTTACTCAAAGGATGTGTTTTATTGCTTCCACATTCCAACTGTTCAGTTCACCAGGAACATCTGCCATCATTTCTTCCGTACTCACCACCCACTACCGCCTTCCACATATGGCACTTCGTTCTGACGACTTGTCACTCCCTTCGTCTCACCTTTCAACTCCTTGCTCGCTCTGAGGCTCTGAGCCATCTTCTCTTCATGCCTCTGCGTACAGGACTGAGCTGGTTCAGAGTCCCTCTTCTCCAGTTCTCTCTCCTTCCCCCCCTCTTTTCTCCCTGCACACATTACACAGTTACTTGACACAAGGAAGGGGCCGCTGTGGGGAGTGTGCAGGGCTGAGTTGAAGCACACTCGCCCCTCTTGTTCCTCCTCCCCTCCTCTTTCCTTTCCTCTCTCCTCCAGATTAAAGTGACTCTTGAGTTGACTCAAGAGGACGCCAGGGAGGGCCGCTGTGGCGAGTGGGCCAATGCCCACAGCCTCTGCTGCCGGGCTCTGGGCTATGATGCTAGACACAGGTATGTGGTATGACTATAGGGATGCCAGGCAGGCATGTGGTGTGACTATAGCGATGCCAGGCAGGCATGTGGTGTGACTATAGCGATGCCAGGCAGGCATTTGGTGTGACTATAGTGAAGCCAGCCAGGCAGGCATGTGGTGTGACTATAGCGATGCCAGGCAGGCATGTGGTGTGACTATAGCGATGCCATGCAGGTGTGTCTATTTATAACGATGCCAGGCAGGTGTGTCTAATTATAACGATGCCATGCAGGTGTGTCTAATTATAGCGATGCCATGCAGGTGTGACTAAAGTCTTCCTGTGTTTCAGCCTTGCATTTTGAATCAGATTAACGCACAGCATGTGCCAACCAGCGGGCGTTGTGCAGTGCATACTGAATACTACTTATTATCTCCTGCACTCATACCGCTTTGCTCGTGTACACTGCTCCTGCGGTCTCCTACTCCTTGGCCTCCTGCCCCGTTCCCTCATTCCGGCTCCTGGTTCCCCTTCTTCCTGCTGTCTCTGTCTCCTGCTCCTCCCCCCTTTCCCAGCCTCTCCAACCCCCTCCAGCACAGGCGGACAGAAGCACCAAAAGCAGCTGTAGCAGCGGCAGTGGCAACAGCAATGGCATCAGGACAACTGGCTGAATGCACAGTGAGAATGGAGCGGGGAAGGGAGGCTGTGGAGGAGAATTGCATGATGGGAATGAGGGGGGGCGGATGGGGGTGGGAGGGGAGGGAGTGGGGAACCAGGGCAAGGTGGTGTTGGCAGGTCAAAGAAGAGGCAGATGTATATAGTTGAGTGAGAGCATGAGCATCCATTTGGGTGAGAATTTTATATATTCTATCGTCTGGTGAAGTTTTTCATTTGTGAACTACATGAACAGTCAATTTTACGCATCATAGTTGGATACATACTAGTTTTGTGACAGCTGTGCGAGCACATCTCGTACTGCATCGTATTATGTACCTCATCCCATACCTCGTAACATTCCTTAACCCACAGCTGATTCCATACATCACGCATACCACTTATCCCACTGCACAATCATCTCTCACGTTCCGAGTCCCGGCATCAGCAGTGCTCTGCCCTCTCGATTTCATCCCTTCCAGGGAACCTCACCTCCTCCTTCACGTGTTGCCGCCTGCTGTCACGGCAACAATTGTTGGTTTTGGAGGTGATGAGGTAAGAATGGACTCTAGGTGGGCTGTGCAGCTGGATGGATGCATAATCTCTGCGCTTTGCCATGCAACACTCTATTCTGTGCATCCTTAATTCAAATGCAAAAGTACTGGTGTACTTAGTGAACATTATTGAATCAACTACACAACCTATTGTGGCTATCACATACGGAAGATGCTTTCAACCAGAGCCACAGGTCTGGCATGACCAAAAGGCCCAAGTGTTTGTGCTTACTTCTCCTATTGTATGCTGTTGGAATAATAACTCTTACCAAATTACCACGTACGCCTCGCACCTTGCTCCCATCTTGTCAATCTCCCCTATCCAGGCATGCTCTACCGTTCCTCCATCACACATCCTCAAACCCTACACACCTATCCTATAGCGTGCGTCCGCATTTTAAAGGCATTGTCCTTCCGGAGTATCGAGAGATCTCAGCTTGGCCAGGGCAGTCAGCTTCCGCAGCCCATCATCCGTGACAGCTGTACCAAACAGCAAAAGGCTCTCAAGCCTTGTCAGCTTCCCCACATGCACCATGCCGAAATCTGTCACACCCTTGCATTCCGAAAGCCACAGCACTTTGAGAGTTGAGAGGCCTGTCAAGTGTCGCAGACCAGCATCAGTAACATAGGTCCAGGTGAGGCAGAGGTTACTCAGGTTAATCATGGAACCAATCCCTTCCAGGTCACTGTCTGCAACGTGTGTGCCTCTGAGGTTTAGAATCTCCAGCTGTGGCAGTCTGTAGAGGTGCCTGATGCCCTCTTCACTGAAGCCTGAGCTATATTCCAAGTTAATGTCCTTTAGATGGGAAGGGAAAACGACTCAAATCGAGACGGGTCTCGTGTAGTGCTGGCTTGATTTTCTGGAAGATATATAGGACGAGGTATTAGATGACAGGGAACGGGATGATAAGGAGAATAGGAAAAAAAAAAGAATAATGCATGCCCAATCAGTCACCACCCACCTGGCATGCAACCTTCCAAATGCCATCGCTCTGCTGGATTTCCAAATCAATATTCGACTTCACGTCTTGTATCATCTGCCATTCCTTGCAGGCTGCCAATTCCTCCATGGCACGTGGCCAATTCAACCCCCGCACCTCCTTCCTCCTCTCCTCCCTCTCCCTTGCGAACTCCGCTCGCATTTCATCCTTCAGCTCTCTCAGATCCAAATCCTTTTTACTCTCAGCCACATCCCATTTCTCTTTCACAGCCTCCTTGTGTTCCGCCAGCTCCCTCTCCCCCTCCTCCACCTGCCTTCTCATATCCTTCATCTCTGCCACTCGTTTTTCCTCAACCTCCTCCAACTGCAACTTAGTTGACTGCTTGTGCTCAGCCAACTCCTTTTTTGTTGTTGCCAACTCCCCCTTCACAACTACCAGCTCCCTCTCCTTCTCCTCCATCGTAGCAGCAATCACCCCATTCCTCTCCTCCACTGCTTTCAACATGTGCCGCAGCTCATCCACCTCCTCCTTGTGTGCAGCCAGCTCCTCTCTCACCGCTGCCAGCACCGCCTCTTTCACCACGTCAATCAGCGGCCCCATCGCTCTCTCAGCAGCCATTTATTCACTCCCCTTCAAAGACCCTCAGTCTATGAATGATCCTTGTGTTTAGCGGCCTTCTTCACTGCAGACAGGTTAGACACGGCCTGAGTAGGGTAGGGTCAAATGTCTTGAAGGGAATGCAAAAGAAGGGGGAAAGAGTGCACACAAAAAGGAATTAATTTATTTGCGTAGCAATAAGTTCCGTGTGAATATGAGAGGAGACAACGGCCATAACAAGCAAGAGACGTGATGGCAAAGCACTAAGAATAGAAGCTTGTGCCACATTTCAGATGGCAATGGAACAACTGAAGGTCAGGAGGACCAGAGAAAATAGGCAGAAGACACGAAATGTGAGTGGGGACTGCCAAAAAGGGACACTTTAAGTTATTACAGCTAGGACTAAACGTATGCAGAGGTTGAGGGGCGGAGAGCAGCAGAATGGATAGGGTGGTGATGTGAGAGGGGTTCACTTCCACTGGCGAGTCATGAAGGGCATGTCAAAGAATGAAACAGAAGCACAGCAACAAACGAACCGGCTAGAGCAACAGGAAAGGACGGTGATAAGATACTAGATGAGGACGCGGCAAAGCCATGACAACAAGCTGAATAGCTCAGCCTAAAATGATGAGGCCTGACAGCGATGACATGCAAAGTGGCCCTGCAAGCACTACCCCTTACCACGGTCATGCATGTAAGGGAAGCCGCAGCAAGCACGGAATGAGAAGATCTGAAAGGATAGGGCAAGGGAGAATAAAAATGGCAGTCAATGTCATATTAGCTATGAGAGTTTGGCTGAGTCAAAGGCTGTGCTTCATAGTCAGCTCGGTTCGAGCACGGCGGGGCCACAGTGCATAAAGGTGGGCAAGGAGAAGCGAGATGCACCAGGAGAAGAGGAGAGAGGGTGCAGCGGAAAAATCAGGAAAGGGAGGGAGGCAGGAGGAGGAGGCGGGGATAAGCGGCAGCAGTGAAGGACAGCACAAACAGCAGCAACAGGGGAAGGGAAAGGATACGGGAGAGGAGAATGAAGACAGTAAGGAGGCGAGAGGAGGGCTGGGTCTGGGATGGAAACACATGGACCATCATGTAACAACGACCGAGATGGTCAACGGAAGGAAATGAGACTGGAGCGAGTAAAGTGGAATCGCATGGAAGAATGACAAGATGGTCAGAGCTAATAATAAGTGCAGCCAACGAGAAATGGGGCAGCGAAGAGGAAGCAGGAAAACCGGGCAGCAAGGATGGCAACAAAATGAGGTTGCGAGGGGAAGTAATAAGGCGAGGCTGAGGTGCTCAGAGACAGAGAGTAGAGAGAGGGGACAATTCTGGGTGAAACGAGCAGAAAGGGACAACGATGGAAATTAGCTAGAATTGAAGATAAGCATGAGGATGAAGAGAATGCTGGAGGCAGATTGACAGATATGTTTGAGTGCACAGCATGCAACCAGGCCTGGGATGGAGACGAACAGACAAGGTGGGTGTGGAGATGGGATTGGCGGTGAGTAAAACAGGATCATTTGGACGAACAAGGTGACAGCTAAGGCCGAGCAGCATGAAAAGAGCTAAGGTACAGTGAAGAGGCTTTGGGAAAAAAAGGCAGCAGGGCTGGCAAGGAGGTATGACCTGACAGGCGGAGACTAGAGAGAGGGATGATTACGAGTGGAATAAGCACGGAAGGGCTAAGGGTGGACAGATGACGGTGATAATGATGAGGATAGAGGAATATGCATTTTGAGTCCGGTGAGAGGTGGATGGAGGAAGTATGCACGACACTGAAGCCGCACCACAAGAAGGACGCAGGAGAGAGAGTGATCTGAACGAAGATGCGTTACCCTTGTGAGATGAGTGCAGAATGAAGGAATAGAGTGAAGAGTGGAGCACCTCAAGTAAAAGCAGAACCTAGCGCGGCAGATTATCATGCAAATTGGGGCACAGGACGAGGCACACAGAGTATGAAACACAATTGTGGGGTTTCAAGCGTGGTTAAACATGAGGCGAAATCAATGATTTCAACTCTTGTGTCACATGAGTATCCCTAGAGATATATGGCCGAGCAAGAGTGAAGAACAAGAGAGAGAGAAAAAAAGGAATGTCACTGGTGGGCCAAGCAAGAGGGGAGAACAAGGAATAACAAAAAGCGAAGCTGATAACACTAAGACTGCACAAGGACTTGATATGATAATCATGGTAAACCCAAGCCGCACTGAAAAACGGCACGACGAGCATAAGCACGCACGCAACACACAGAGCACGCAAGTTGGAAAGAGTTACAATTGGACTCAGGCAAGGTTGAAAAAAGGAGGAGAAGAGCAGGACTCACGGGAAGGGAGACAGGATGTGTTCGGGTCGTAGAGTGAGGCAGGAGAGATGCAGCAGCAATGGATGACCAATCAGTTAGCACACTGACCGTGCGTACCTGGTGTTTAGCGAAAAAACGCTAGATCGCTGCGACGAGCTGATGGTCAGAAACAAGCGCTGCTCAACAGACCGACTGCTATCAGCTTTTTTTCTATTCCTTGCGCTAGGGGGCGGAGCAGAGAGGAGTGACGCCACGGGAGGAGGCAGACTCTGGAAGTGGAGGAACAACTTCTGGGGGCTGGGCTCAAGGGGTCGAGAAGCAGGCAGAGGAATAGGGCGAACGAGAGATGACAGGAGGGAGGCATCACATCATGCACTTCCGTCCGTTCATTCATCTCACCATTTATCAAATCTCTCCATTCCAGAGCTTAGCCCGTCCCCGTTGTTAGTAATCAAGCATCACTGTCGCACGCTTCCAGCCCGTCAAGCAGCGGCACCGCATGCCAGGCTGCGCCCCACCTCGTTGTTGCTAATCGCGACGCCACGTGGGCAAACGCGATGCATCGGGTATTAACGTCTAGGCTGTAACGACGCAACGAGGGTGCTAGTTACGATTCTTGTAAGCAGTGAAGGACTTCAGAGGCCGAGGAGCGGAGCGGGGAGAGGGGAGGTCGGGGGTCAGGAAGGAGATTGACTGTTTTGCTGGGTGCATGCCGTATGTGCGCGGCGAGGTGCGACGAGAACGAAGTATCGTGTGGCAGAATGGCAGCACATAGCCGCCATAATGTCGTCGTGACGCATGGCGGCGCTCGCGCGGTCGAATCCTCCTCGGAATCGAGCAGCGTGCGGGCTACTATGGTTGTCGGACTGCGCGAAGGAAAAAAAACGACGTATTCCATTGCGCAGCTCGGTGTTGTGCGAATGGCGCCTGTTCTTATAACCATGAGCATCGTCCTTTCGAACGAAGAATTCGAATCGAGCGACGCGGTAATATGGGAGTATTTGTAATTGGAGACGCCTATGTCTGTCTCGTGGCATGATTGGCGAGGTCAATTTAGGGTTGAGCTTCTAGATTGTGTGGCGAGTCTCACACCCGGTCTATACCTTTCCGGGTTGGTTTGGTTTGGGATTCTTAGGTAACACGATGTTACATTCCAAATTGATTCGTTTGCTGAGCTTTGAATTCGCGGTGCTCTACAACAAGCACGGCGAAAGTTCATATTCACATCCGCACCTAGACGAACCTTGTGGTTTCCGACCGCTTGTGCCGAATGTGCACTGGTTCAACCGACTATGTATGCTTGCCAAATTTATGGCTCACTATCTGGACTGAGACGTGAATGTCGCATAGTAGTCGTCTGCCGCCGTCGTTTTCAAGTAACCCTCATCTCAGTCTGAATTAGCGTCGCTTTGAGCGAATTTCGGCGATTATACTGAGCGGATCGCGTTACTCACTATCGGATCACCCAAGTCTGCATACCCTCCGACCGACCGACCTGCTCGCATGCCTCTGCCATCCCTTGAATCGCCCGATCCCTCATCAGCCCTGCTCTCACTCGGTTGTCCCAAAGGCTAATCTCACGAGACACCCTCGTCACCACGTGCAGCATAATTCAGCCGTTCCCCCAGTCGTTTGTCGCTCGGCTATCATCCCGCGAGGTGGGTATCCGCGCCGCGCTTCGTCGTCGTGTAGAGTTTATCTTCGTCACAACCGTTCTCTCCCCTGGCTGCGGACCTTTGTCAATCCGCTGCCGGGAAGCGCATGCTGCGACAAAACATAGTTCGTCTGTTCCCCCTTTGTCGTGTTGTCGGTGCTGCCACCCTCGTCTGCTTTGCTTTCCCTTCCTCACCTGACCTATGTTCTCTGCTCCGCCCCTTCCGCCCTTGCCTTTCTCTGCACGTTGCATGTGTTCTGTTCAGTTCAGCTTGCCTCACCATTCATTAAACACTTCTTCCCATCTCCAATCTGACTCGCCTCATCTGTTCCTTCAGCTTTGTGCTACTACTTCTGTCACCGATTTCGTTTCTTCTTCGTCCCACACATCATCAACCAGCTGTTTGTTTCATTCTATTGCCATACGGATTAATGTATTCTAAAACATTGCAATTACATGCCAAGCCACCGTTTTCCCCTGCTGAAGTCATTGTTTCCTCCCTCTCCCATGCCTCCTGCATCTCATCCCCGTGCCTTCTTCAACCCACCTCCTCAGCTGCCCATTCCTTGTTGCCGCTAAATCGTGCTTCACGCTATCCGATCCGTCAGTCGTTCGTCGTGCTGCCATCACCCTGTGAGGTGGGCATCCTTTGGCGTTTGTTTACTTCAGAGGTTGCGTGGATAATCCCTCTCCGTCCTTCTCATGCCACTGCTTCAATACCGCGCAGATCTATCCACCTCGCCAGGCCCAGTGCCCTTATCAGCTTTCTCCACTGCTTCCTCCCTACCTGTACTCCTATCTGTTCATGCCACTGACTTAGATTTCCGATTTGGGTGCGCCAATTCACGCCATCCATTTCTTCGCTCGCCACTCACCTCAAGAGTTCAGTCTCTCTGCCTTCTTACTTTCTTCTCTCTGCCCTGTTTTGCCCTTCAGCATGCCTCACCATTCCTCCGCATGCTTTGCTTGCTGCTGGCTCCATTCCCTGAGTGCATCTCCTTCATCCTCTTCCATCACCCTGCTCCGCTCTCTTACCCTCTTAATGCGTGCCCCTGTCCACCTTCGTCTGTCCATGTGCGCTCCACCCGACACCATCGTTTCCCATCAAGTCGTTCTCCCACCCCTCGCCGTGTCACCTCTCCTCGTCGCCTCTTCGCCCTGCCACCCCTGCTACCCCCGCTGCCCTCTTCCACTTCATTGCACCTTCACTCCGCGCAGCCATTCCTGCTTCGCCCATTCATGTGATCCTGTGTCAATCGCCACCAGTCTTATTGGCATTCACCTGGTTCCCATGACCATATATTCTGTTTCTCTCCATCCCTGGCCTTGTCTCTCATCCAGTGCACGATACTCTCGGAATCGACAAGCCTCGCCTTCACACACCACGCACTGCTGTGAAAGCACGGCCGTCTTGGAAACCTTAAGTGCAGGTATGCTTGTCTGCCTTCATCTTTAATCAAGTCATTACACTAGCCCCCCTAGCAGTTCCCCGTTCTCAGCCTTCCGCATTGGAAGGCTCACAGTCACAGCCTACACACGAGCATAGTTGTAACACCCCGATGTGTTGCTTCAAGTTTCTGAGTCACCTTATGGTTTCAGCACAATACCAAGAGTGCCCCTCGACACTTTGTTGCCCATGCCCCTTCCCATGCTTTTCCTCTCCCTCATTCATTCGCCCACGCTGTCACTCACTCAGGCTCTGACTGACCTGGCCTTTGGCTGATCTAGACTTTGGCTGACCTGGCTTTGGCTGACCTGGCATATGGCTGACCTGGCATGTGGCTGACCTGGCATGTGGCTGACCTGGCATGTGGCTGACCTGGCATGTGGCTGACCTGGCATGTGGCTGACCTGGCTGGTGACAAACCTAGAGCCTGTGATTGACTGGTCGACAACCGACAATCGATATGGTCTTGAGGTATGGTATGGCCTTGAAAATATGTTCAATATATAGCGGATGCGACCTGAGACAAGTCGCACTGGCTTCTGACGACTTGGTCATGTTTATGTGCTGCGGCCGCGTCGTGCTTGAGCCGAACGGACTCTGAACATGTCGCGTGTTGACTTCAAAAGTTCGGTTCGAAGAAAGGCGGGTTGAACGGAGAAGCCATAACTTGATATTTTTGTCGCCCGTGCCGTTTATTTTCAAATCTCATTGTGCGTCCGCCCCGTCTTCCATCACATATGCGATTGTGGTAAGGAGAACAGCAGGCAGGGCCACACTGCATATTCGATGTCAGGCTGAGCTCTTCGCCTTGTCGTCGTTGCTGCTCCGCCTCCTCATGCAGCATTCTGTCTGGCTACCTTTCGGAGGAAGGGAGGAGCTCCCTTCCTCCGTCTGGCTTCCTTTCTCCCATATGCTGCGTTTTGTGACCCTCCTCACCTTCTTACACTGATGTTAATTCGTGGTGCAAGTGTCATTATCAGTTCATACATTGGATTGGATACGTCTTATCGTAAGAAAGACAGATGTCTTCGCTTATCTGTTCCTTTCTTGCTCTCTTCTCGCATTTTTCTGCCCGACTATTCGTTTTCAGGAGCTACCTTGTCCTTACCACCATCGTAGTTCGGGCTTTCTTGCTGCTCTGCTCCTTCAGGTTACTGTTATCTGTTTGACGCCAACCCACATTCATATTAGCACTCTGTGCACCTCTCCAACCTGGTCATAAGTCCCCTTGTTCCTCTACCTGGTTCCTCACTGCCTCGTTTGTTGTGCTTCCGTCTCACTCTTACAGCAAATTTCTGCCTGTTGTGTTATCTCCTCCTCCTATGCTTGGCCTTCAACCCTTGCCAGTCAAAGTGAACTCCGTTCAACCACCACCCAATGCAGTCCCCTGCGGCTCGCTGCCCTTCACCCTCAGCACTTTTTCTTTCTCGTCCTGGCCTTCCCCTGTTCCATTGCTGCCAGGCTTCATGCGATAAATGCATGTGTGTCTGCACAAGCTTCTCCTCTAACGGCTGACCCAAATATGCGTTCAATCTCGTATGCCTTGCCCCCTAATTCTGCCCCGATTTCTGACACTTGAAGCTGCTCTTTTCCGTCTGTGTTTTCTTTCGCCAGGCTGCAGTCAAGGAGGAGGAAGAAGGAAAGGATCTGCCATTGAATTAGGGTCGTTTGGAGGGAGTGAGCGGGTAAAATGGCTGCTGAGAGAGTGATGGGGCCACTGATGGACGTGGTGAAAGATGCGGTGCTGGCAGCAGTGAGAGAGGTAGATGAGCTGCGGCACTTGTTGACAGTAGTGCAGGGGGACTTGGCTGAACACAAGCAGTCAACTGCATTGCAGCTGGAGGAGGCGGAGAGGAGACGAGTGGCGGAGATGAGGGAGATGAGAGGGCAGGTGGAGGAGAGGGAGAGGGAGCTGGCTGAACTGAAAGGGGAAGTGGTTGAACTCAAGAATGCTGAAAGAAGGAGAGAATGTGATATGAGAGAGTTGAGAGATGAAGCGAGAGAGGAGTTGGCAAGGGAGAGGAAGAAGAGGAAGAGGGAATTGCAGGAGCTAGAATGGCCTCGTGCCATGGAGGATTTGGCAGCCTGCAGAAATTGGGTGAATTTTCAGAAGGGAGTCAACCAGAGTAAAGGCCTTGAGAAGGTTGCATGGGAGGTGAGTGTTGAGTTAACTGCTTCACAAGGCATGCATGGTTTGACAGGGCATGCATTATTTGACAGGACATGAATGGTTCACAGGGTATGCATGGTTTGACAGGGCATGCACTGTTTGACATGGCATGCATGGTTTCGCAGCACGTGTGTGTTTGCTATTGTCACGATTGCCATTCCCTCCCTTGTCATTCATTCCTTCCTTACCCATCACCGCCAGCATATCAAGTCTGCATCAGAAGAAACGGATTTTCTAGTTTTGAAGGGCCTCAAGGGCCTCTCAGACTCTATCCTCAGCCATTTGTCTACGCTGACCAACCTGAAGTGGATCGACCTGAAAGAGACCTCGGGCTTCAGTGCAGAGGGCGTCAGGAACCTCTACAAACTGCCAAAGCTGGAGATGCTGGACTTTAGATGGTCAGGCGTGTCCGACAGTGCCTTGCAAGGCATTGGGTCCTTGACCAGCCTCAAGATTCTTCGTCTCTGGGATACCAATGTGACCAATGCTGGTCTGGCGCACTTGACAGGGCTTTCCTCTCTCAAAGAGCTAGACCTCTCCCAATGCACGGCTGTGACAGATGCTGGCATGGTGCATGTGGGGAAGCTGACTGGGCTTGAGAACCTTGTTCTGAGGCGGACAGCGGTCACGGATGATGGGTTGCAGCAGTTGACAGACCTCTCCTCTCTCAGATTGCTGAGCCTTTCTGAATGCGATGCTGTGACAAATGCTGGCATGGTGCATGTGGGGAGGCTGACAGGGCTTGATGATCTTCGGCTCTATGGCACAGCAGTCACGGATGAAGGGCTGCAGCAGCTGACTGCCTTGACCAAGCTGAGAGCTCTCTGTCCGCGAGAAGGGCGTTCCCTTATGAACGATGATCTTCGCAAGCGGATAGGCAGGTAGGATGGCAGGGAGTGATGATAAAAGGGAGGTGAGGCAAGAGTTGGCTGTCACTGTCTGAGGGAGACGGATGAGATGCGTGGAGGCAAGTTGTGTGAAGAACGAGGGGAGCCATGCATGCGGAGGAGGAAGGCATGGAATGGTGGTTGTGCACGGCTAGATGGTGAACTTGTAAGGTACTTCGCATTTGGATTAAAGATGGCACATGGCTGGCTCTGTTTGTTCTCTTGTGCATGAATGGAGGCGGCATGAGTTTCTGGCTTTGGGTTTCTGACTACCCATAGATAGATGCATGAGTGGGAAAGTAGAAGCTGAGGGCATTGTGTGTGAAGCTTATAAGGCTCTGCTTTTCTAAGTTGTTCACCTTGCTTGGATAAGCATGATTGACCATGTTCTATAAAAGTACACCCAACATGTTTGTTTAATGAGGTCCATTAATGTGCATGAATCATTAACTTCTATTACGGTACTAGACTAGATACAGAAGAGAATGCAGTACACACAACAGTGTATTACTCAAAGCCACATCTCACCATTGAAGGTGGTTAAGACAAGTGGCAGTGGCTTGCTAGAGGACTAGAGGACGTGCTGAGGGTAGAGGGCATAATAAAAGCATGCTGTTGGCTGGGGTGGGTAGCATATGCATGAGGGCAGAGGTGAAGCTGGAAGAATTGAGCCTGTGTGTGCATGGGGAGAAGGGCAGATGGGATGCATGCTGCTGCACACTTGAGCTCCAATCAACCACCCCTGCTTGCAACACCCCTGACGAGGCTTGCATATTCCCACTGCACCGTTTGCCCCTCACCGCTTCTCACACCATCTACCAAGCAGCGCCTGCTACGCAAGAAACTGTTGTGAATGGAAGCAGACTGTGAACATTGTGTGAGGAGGTAAATCACTGGAGCTGCAAGAAATGAAGTCGAAAGTGAGAATCACAGTTGAATCCATCAATACCGAAGGGAAGAAAGTGCGGATAGTGTGGAGAGTTATGAGGTGGTACCTTGCAACGGAACCTGTCGAGCTGTCATACGCCGCCCAGGAGGCTGAGCAGCTCCTTCAGTCGCTTCACCAATCATGGTGGAAACACGAGCTATCCCCCTCCCACCCGCCGCCCCTGTGCCTGCGCGCATGTTCGTAGTGATCAAGATTGCCGCTCATTCTCCCTCCCATGTTCAGAAGCCCCCCCTCCCCTTCCCCCCCCACCCCCACTGCTCCCGCCTGGTGGTGCGAATGTGAGAAGCCGAGGAGAAAGTGGCATTGAGTAGACTGCAGATACGTTGTGCCGTATAGCATGTTGTGGGGGGCAGTCACAGCCGTCGTGCATGCTCGAAAGATACCCAAGGAGCGAGGGGGAGGGCGGCCGCTCTGAAGCAACGTGCTGGGCACAACCCCTGCCACCATCTGCGCCACCACGGCCACCAGTATCCGCATGCCCCCCTGCAGATCTTGACTCCCCATTCCTTCCTCCCCTTCCCTGCCCGCCCCCCCTGCTGCCCCTACCCACGCTTGCTGACTCTCACTCCTCCCTCTGCCTGTCCCCGCATTGCCCTGCCGCTCCATTGCGGCCACCACCCGTTTACCCGCGGCGCCTAGGCGAAATGGCCCTGAGAAGGGCAGATGGCGGGGCGCAGGTTCTGCGGGTTTCACTTGGGCGGGCGGAGGCAGCACGGAGTGGCGCTGCAGGGAGAGCAAGGCGCAGGAGGAGGGACACGAGGAAAGCGAGAGGAGGAGGGAGCGGAGATTAAAGGCAAGGAAGGAGGGAGGGAAGTAGGAGGAAGGTGAGATGAGAGCAGCGGCAGTGGGGGAGAGGGGTTGGGAGGTGCAGACATGGCCGAGGAGTGAGTATGTGTGTGGTGCGTGGGCCCGACCGAGAGAGAAGGCACCAGGAGGAAGGGGAGGGGGAGGGGGCAAGGTGCAGATGCGCATACAAGTAGCAGCAGCAGTAGCAGCAGGTACTCACCTCGTTTGCCTCGCTGGTCGATGACCGCCTGCTCACCACGCACCTCTCCGTCCCACTCACCCGCACGCCCCGCGCACCCTTCTCCCTTGCGCGCTCCCCTCCCCCCTCCCCCTCATCCTCCCACTCCCCCTCCAAACCCCTCTCCTCCCCGCTGTCCACGCCTAGCGCCGCCAGCTCGTCCAACAGTGCGCGGCGCGGCGGCGCGGAGAACGCTGCAACCCTCGGAGAGGGGATTGGAGGTGCAGACATGGCGGCCTGTTGGATCATGGGCGAGACGGCGGCGCGGAGGCGGACAGTGCACGGCGGGAGAGATCAGGGGGATCGGGGGGAAAAGGGAAGGTGAGGGGGGGGGGAAGGTGGGTTGAGGGGCGACTGGGAAGGGGAAAGAGAAGGAGGGGCGGCGGCGGGAGAGTGGTATGCTGTTCGCCTGCAGAAGAACCTGCTGCAGCTGCTGCGGTATTGACAGGTATATTCTCCTCACTGCACCTACTGCTATTGCTGCAACTGCCCGGCCCTGTAACACGCTGTGTGTGGAGAGTCGGTGGACGTGATAGCCACACAGGGAACGGGCACGGGAGCACCCGGGGGAGCGGAGACAGAGGGGGGAATGGCGTGGCCCAGGAGAGCAGACGGGCCTACCAGCATGGTGTGGCTGGCGGGTGCGAAGCGGGTAGGCGGGGGCGGAGAGGAAGAGGGGCGACGTGATACCGTGGCTTGCGCTGACAAACTGAGAGAGCACGGGGGATCGGACGGGGACAGGGGTGCAAGCACCGGCTTCCCCAACAGCCACTGCGTCAACCGCAAATCCACCTCCGCCACTCCCGGCCATGCCTCTCCACTGCCCAATCCCGCTAACACACCCTGCCACCTCGCATGCTCCCTCTTACCCTTCCTCTGCTCCACCCCAGGCTGCGACCACCCTGCAGCTGCATTGGCCCCGGCCCCCAACAGCACGCACCCTTACGACTGCCCAGCGCTGCCTGCCTTTCTCACTAATCCACCCTTGCCACCCTGCTCCCCACCCGTACCCCCGCAAATCCATCCCACGCCCTCCCCTCCTCTCCGCTCCTGCCCTGCTCCACCAGCGCCCCCTCCTCTCCGCACGCACTCTGCTATTTGCCCAGCCGACAGTGGCGCGCTCCCGCGAACGACTGCTTGTCCGCTAACACGCTCCCTTGCACAGGCAGTTCCCGGCCGACACTACGAGCAGTGGCGCCATCGAGCGCCCCCTCCGCGCAACGACGCCATGAAGCGCCCCTCTTCCCCCCACGGCATTGCAGCGGCATGACGGAGCTTTGGAAGAGCCACTGCGCACTTCCGCCCTGCCCCCCCACCACCTTCCCATCGCTTTCCCCTGGCCCACCCTATCACCGCCCTTACCTCTCATCACCGCGTCTTGCTCCTCCTGCGTCCTTTGCACCTGCTCCGCAAAAGCAATATTCCCCGCTGACCCTGCGCAGCTTCCGCCTGCGTCTCTCCCCACTCCCTGCGCCTGTCCTTGACTTTGCCGTATCGTCTGCCCCTGTGGGGTCGGCTGTTGTGAGCGAGACCGTGTGATGGCAGCAGGCAGAGAATTACCAGAGAGTTACCGCTGTCCCCCTTCCTCTCCCAATGCGACACGTGCAGCACCAGTGCCACCACCACCGTCACCACTACTGGCACCACTAGCATCACCACCAGAATAAACACAGCACCACCGCAACCACCAGCAACACTTCGACCAACCAACATCGCCACCAGCAGCTACCGTGGTGCGAGAGAGCGACAGGAACAGGTCGCCATGGAAGGCACCGCGACCTGCCACCGCCGTTAACCCTCGCACCCGCCACTGCCATCGCCGAGGCCTGGTCCCACCCTTCCCCTTCACACACGTTCATTCTCGCCCCATGGGGCTGATCGTGGACGGAGGCGGTCATGGGGAGCGCGCATTGCGGAGGCAGCAGCGCGCGGATCAGCGCAGGCGAGACGGGGGGGGGCTCGAGGGCTGCGCGGGGCGACTCTGTTACCTGTGGATCTTGACAAGCGGCGGATTCTGCGGCGGAGTCGACCGCGTGGGATGCGGTGAAGAGGTGTCGGATGGCAGGTACACGCGCGCGGCGTCAATTTGGCATGCTGCTGCTGCTGTGGGAAATGTGAACTGCCCAGCTCCGCCCTGCGCTGCCCTTTCCACGTGGAAGGCGGCAAGAACCTGCAGGATAGCGTGGGTTGGGGGAACGGGGGAAGGAGCGGAGGGGAGCCGGCGGAAGGGCGGAGCGCAAGGGGACAGGGGAGAAGGCATAAGAATGTGACAGTTGGCGCGGTGTAGCCAAATGATTCGAACGTGTCAAGGATGCGAGCAAAGGGGGGGTTTTCCGGGTGCCCCCATGCCCGGTCCCTGTGTACAGTCACCTTGACCCGCGTAACACACCACACCTTGATCTGCGTGACACACCTTGACCCGCCGCATGACGCACGTTCGCTACACCAGCAGTCGCAGCACACACTGCACCACCCACGCCTCCACGCCTTCCTCCCCCTCGCCCAGCCCGCCCTACTTCTCCTCTTCCCCCATTTTCCTCTTGCCAGGAGTTCCACGAGGGCACAACCGCCACCAGCACCGCCTCCACGAGGCGCCGCGAGGCGGGTTCTCGTGCCAGATGCATGCATCCTGCCACGGAAAATGCGGCGATGAGAGCCAGCGCTGGGAATGGCACGCATGGGAAAGCTGTTCTCAGATTCACTCTGCCGCGTCCGCGGAGTAGCGCCAGAAACGACATACCGGGCGGCGATGACGCGCATTCCGACTGCTGCCACGGCGCAGCGGCGCGTCCACCCGCAGTGAGTTTTGCGATTTGAGGCGTTGCGACGAAGTGATGGAGTTGCGGGAGTACGCGAAACAATGGCAGGAAAGAGTTTGGCACGCTCCTCGCCTTCGTCTAACATTGCAACGACTACATCACACGCAAGTAAGCTGAAAGGGTAACGGTATCGCGAAGAGAGGTCTGTGGGTCCCAAAGCGCGCTGCGACGTCGTTGATTCTCGCACGCCAGCAATGCAATAAAACGGCGAAATTGCCCTCACAGCGCGCTATGGGAGACTGGCGAGAGCGATCTCGAGTCACTTGGATCCAGTTGCCGCGTTCGACGCACGGTCATGCATATTTCTCACGACTTTGACAGCACTACCAGCTGTACAATGTGGAGTAGCGCAGATCTAGCTGTTTGTGCGGTGTGTCCAGGTTCTGCCAGGTAGCTGGATGGGCTTGGAGGACAAAATCAACGAATGAGCTAGGCAACCTGGAAACAGCTTTGCCAGTAACGAGAAAAATTGGAACTTCGTTTCATGGAAGACGTGCTTGGCGAAAGCAGCTCAACTTGAATGAAATTCGCGCATCCACTTTCGTGCGTTCGTGTGTGTCGTTTTGTTTGTCCCCTTGACCCCTGAGCTAGTTGAGCCACTTCACCTCAACCTTGATTTCGCGCCAAAACCAACCAAACCTCCCCAATGTCTCCCAAACCAAAGCAAACCATACTAGCTCCAGACCACCCAAGTAACCAATCAGAGCCCCTTCGTTGCCAAACAAACTTCACATTGATTCGAGTTTTCTTGTTGCTCGGAGTCCTGGGCCCAGTTCGGCAGGCATTCTCGCCATTATCGCCATTTTGGGCATTTTTTACGGGCCCCCAAAAAATGGCCCCTCGAAACAGCTGCGAAGTCAGACTGTAGCTGCAGTCCAACTTCGGAAGAATGGGCCCGACTGTTCGGTTGGCATTAAATGGGCCTGGATTAATGGCATCAACCCAAAATCATACTTCGCAGAAGCTCGCATGCAGCTGCGCTGAAAGAGCCCAGAATCACTGTACTGGCAGCCCGGGCAGCCCTGCAAACCAGTGGTGGACGTCGGAAATTTTCGGACTTGGCCCTCCTTCTTCCTCGTCATGGTTAGGGAGACACAACCACCCAGCGCCCAAGCTCAGTCTCTAGCCATGGAACACAAATATCCTCCACATAGAACAGCACGACCATCCTAGTAGCTTTCGACCAGAATGGCTGGTTCCTTCAATCCCTTCAAACCGGAGTCTCAAGTATCCCGAAGTTGCCTCATCCTTCCTACCTTTGGTTGGGTCACAAAGTCCAACCAAGCTTCCTACCTTTGGTTTTGTCACTAAGTCCAACCAACCTTCCTACCTTTGAAACCTGTGGACCCTGGGTTTTAAGCCTCACGAAATCAAATATCACCCTCGGATATGGCAGTGATTCCCGATACAGCCAGGTAGAGCACATCGTAAACGGTCGTCTCGCCGCGCTTCGTATAATTATGTATGACTTAATAGCCAAAGCAGCTAGCAGATACATGTACGAGCCTCGCCATACCTCCGCGTTGCGTGGCAGAGCTTATGCTCATGAGTTACAGACGGGACACCCGGCGCGAATGCGTACTGCCGCACGAATGGAACCTTCTTTATTTTTCAGATTGTGCAATCTCATCACCTGTAGGGAGTTGTTGACGCCAGGGAGGCATATAGGCCTTCCCGAAAAGCTCTTGATCTTCATGAGTTTTGTAGGGCATGCAGCCTCTAATCGCGACCTGCAAGAGCGCTGGCAACACAGCGGTTCAACGATCAGTGCGCTAATTGCCGAGGTGACCACTGCCATTATCCGGCTAAAACCGAGCTTCATTAGAATGCCATCAGAGGAAGACTCCGACTTCCTCGGATCACGCCCTGAGTATGCACATTTTCGAGGCGCCCTCGGTGCGGTAGACGGGACCTTGATTCCAGCGTGTATCCGTGCTAACACGCCTAGATAACCCTTCACGCGCTTATCAAAGAAGGTTCCAGGGTGGTCGGTTTACTGTAGCCCATCAGGGGAAACCGTTTTTTTAATGCCTGCCGAACTGGGCCCTGACTCTGATTCAAGAGATTTCCCACCCGCTCTCTGCACTGCGTTCGTTTTAGCTTCATTGTTCAGACACGATTCAGTTGAGTCTTCTCTGCGCTAGTGAAGCTGGCATAGCGGCGTTTGTCATGTAAGCTAGTACGTTGCAGATTATACGGTGTTTCCTTATTACGCTCTTCGAATACGACTGATTCGCGACAGCCACTAAACCAAATGAGACGTTTCGCAAAAACTTCAAAATTACGACGATACTTTGTTTCTTAATAAGAGCGGAAAGGTAATAAGAACGCGTCTCGACATCTCGCGATTCCGTCATTCTTCTTTGAAGCGGCGACATCAGAAAAATGTAAAACTGGCGAGTATTGGGGGGGGGGGGGAAGGGGTCCCTTTTTGAGTTGGGAGGCAGGTCGTTTTCCATAGTTAATGAGGCGAAATTCGCATTGCCCTGCTTCGCGGCAGTTTACCATCGATTGTGCTGGGTTTATTCCTGCAGATTGTCGAGAGCCTTTCTACTTGTTTACACCCCCCCCTCTCGATCCCAATTTACCTCTGTTTACAGACGAGCACTGTACAGGTGGACCACGAACCATGGTTTACGTGGCGTTTCTGGTTGGGTGCTTACGTGCGTTCCCATTGGTCGTTTTGTTCCAGACACAAACGAGAATCAATCGCGAGATATGTGGAGAGTGCTTGGCAACCAACACTTCACACCCTGATTCACCTTCGCGTGGAAATGTTTGAAGATTCTGGCCACGTCATTTCAGTTTGGGTTGCTGTTGAAGAGACAGAATAGTAACATGTTACAAACCTCATTTTGAGAATTGTGTCTGTTATGTTCTTTTTGAAATGTGATAATAGCTAGGTATAAAAAATAAGTGACGTAAAGATCAACTCCAGCCCCATTAGCTGTATGTTTTAAGGGTTCTAAACAAACCTTTATTAGGGCTCAGCCACAAATGTGGGGGGTCCGATATCTCGTACCACTGTCTATTAAAATATAACATGTTGACTATAATGAAAGCATAGTATATATTTTTCAAACCCATAAACATCGTGGTTATGTTGATTAGAACACTCTAGCAGAGAATTACCAACAAGAATAGGTTTGCGCGACACGTGGCGCATGTTCGTGCGTTTGCTGGCCTGAACATGTGCAAGGATAGGCTTGTGCGAAACATGTCAGTTCGCCAACGTCTGGATGCCTTTTTTACCACTATTTCTTCACACAGTTCTCTACTACATCCTATTCCCTAGACATAGGAACTGATTTCATCTCGTTAGCACAACTACACAGCTCGTGTATGTTTGTGCATTTGCAGGCCTGAATCTGTGCAACGATAGGCCTGCGCGTAACATGTCACTGCGCCAACGTCTAAATGCATTTTTTACCACTATTTATTCATAAACTTCTTTACTACATCCTATTTCCTAGCCATAAGAACTGATTTCATCTCGTTAGCACAACTACGCAGCTCGTGGCGCATGTTTGTGCGTTTGCTGGCCTAAATCTGTGCAAGGATAGGCGTGTGCGCAACATGTCACTGCGCACTGGGTGCCTTTTTTACCACTATTTCTTCACACTGTTCTCTACTACATCCTATTACCTAGCCATAGGAACTGATTTCATCTCGTTAGCACAACTACGCAGCTCGTGGCGCATGTTTGTGCGTTTGCTGGCCTGAATCTGTGCAAGGATAGGCGTGTGCGCAACATGTCACTGCGCCAACGTCTGGATGCCTTTTTTACCACTATTTCTTCACACAGTTCTCTACTACATCCTATTACCTAGCCATAGGAACTGATTTCATCTCGTTAGCACAATTACGCAGCTCGTGGCGCATGTTGGTGCGTTTGCTGGCCTGAAACTGTGCAAAGATAGGCATGTGCGCAACATGTCACTGCGCCAACGTCTGGATGCTTTTTTTACCACTATTTCTTCACACAGTTCTCTACTACATCCTATTACCTAGCCATAGGAACTGGTTTGACCTCGTTAGCACAACTACGCAGCACGTGGCGCATGTTTGTGCGTTTGATGGCCTGAATCTGTGCAAGGATAGGCCTTTGCGCAACATGTCACCGTTTCAACCTCTGGGTGTTTTTTTAACCTATATTTCTTCTGGCTGTTCCCTAGTACATCATATTCCCTAGCTATAGGAACTGGTTTGACCTCGTTCGCACAACTATGCAACACGTGGCGCATGTTTGTGCGTTTGATGGCCTGAATCTGTGCAAGGATAGGCCTTTGCGCAACATGTCACCGTTTCAACGTCTGGGTGTTTTTTTAACCTCTATTTCTTCTGGCTGTTCCCTAGTACATCATATTCCCTAGCTATAGGAACTGGTTTGACCTCGTTCGCACAACTATGCAGCACGTGGCGCATGTTTGTGCGTTTGATGGCCTGAATCTGTGTAAGGATAGGCCTGTGCGCAACATGTCACTGCGCCAACGTCTGGATGTCTTTTTTAGCACTATTTCTTCGCACAGTTCCCTATTACAACCCATTCCCTAGCCATGGGAACTGGTTTGACCTCGTTCGCACAACTACGCAGCACGTGGCGCATGTTTGTGCGTTTGATGGCCTGAATCTGTGCAAGGATAGCCCTTTGCGCAACATGTCACCGTTTCAACGTCTGGGTATTTTTTTAACCTCTATTTCTTCTGGCTGTTCCCTAGTACATCATATTCCCTAGCTATAGGAACTGGTTTGACCTCGTTCGCACAACTATGCAGCACGTGGCGCATGTTTGTGCGTTTGATGGCCTGAATCTGTGCAAGGATAGGCCTGTGCGCAACATGTCACCGTTTCAACGTCTGGGTGTTTTTTTTACCTCTATTTCTTCTGGCTGTTCCCTAGTACATCATATTCCCTAGCTATAGGAACTGGTTTGACCTCGTTCGCACAACTACGCAGCACGTGGCGCATGTTTGTGCGTTTGCTGGCCTGAATCTGTGCAAGGATAGGCCTGTGCGCAACATGTCACTGCGCCAACGTCTGGATGCATTTTTTAGCACTATTTCTTCGCACAGTTCCCTAGTACAACCCATTCCCTAGCCATGGGAACTGGTTTGACCTCGTTCGCACAACTACGCAGCACGTGGCGCATGTTTGTGCGTTTGATGGCCTGAATCTGTGCAAGGATAGCCCTTTGCGCAACATGTCACCGTTTCAACGTCTGGGTGTTTTTTTAACCTCTATTTCTTCTGGCTGTTCCCTAGTACATCATATTCCCTAGCTATAGAAACTGGTTTGACCTCGTTCGCACAACTATGCAGCACGTGGCGCATGTTTGTGCGTTTGATGGCCTGAATCTGTGGAAGGATAGGCCTGTGCGCAACATGTCACCGTTTCAACGTCTGGGTGTTTTTTTTACCTCTATTTCTTCTGGCTGTTCCCTAGTACATCATATTCCCTAGCTATAGGAACTGGTTTGACCTCGTTCGCACAACTACGCAGCACGTGGCGCATGTTTGTGCGTTTGCTGGCCTGAATCTGTGCAAGGATAGGCCTGTGCGCAACATGTCACTGCGCCAACGTCTGGATGTCTTTTTTAGCACTATTTCTTCGCACAGTTCCCTAGTAAAACCCATTCCCTAGCCATGGGAACTGGTTTGACCTCGTTCGCACAACTACGCAGCACGTGGCGCATGTTTGTGCGTTTGCTGGCCTGAATCTGTGCGAGGATAGGCCTGTGCGCAACATGTCACCGTTTCAACGTATGGGTCTTGTTTTTACCTCTATTTCTTGACACAGATCGCTAGTATATTCTTTTACCTAGCCATAGGAACTGGTTCGACCTCGTTCGCACAACTACGCAGCACGTGGCGCTTGTTTGTGCGTTTGCTGGACTGAATCTGTGCGAGGATAGGCCTGTGCGCAACATGTCACCGTTTCAACGTCCGGGTCTTGTTTTTACCTATATTTCTTGACACAGTTCCCTAGAACATTATATTTCCCAGCCATCTTTTGCTCCGCCAAAAGGAAGTTGTACCGGACACTATTTTCGCAGCTTGATGTGTCGTGTTAATGTCACTTATATATCGCTTAACACCTATATTTAGTGGATTACCTACATTTCAATAGGTCTAATGATTCTCGAATTGCTAAAAATGATATCCAAAACACAGAAAAGGTGCAACCAAAGTATACAAATACTATGTAAGTGCTGGGCACTACTCTGAATAATTATAATTTAACCAGGCTATTCGTGCGTGTGTTACATAATGTACATCGCGCCAACAGAGGCAAATTACATAGCATTACTATGTTGGAAACACCTTTCGGTGGCCACGTCACGTATGCCAACAGCTGGCAAAACCCACCTTTTAGTGGCCAATGGGAAATCGCCGCGGCGAACCAGCGCACTAACCCAGCCACGTTCATAGAACCGCCGCTGTGCTGGATAGGGTTAGGGGTGTCACCCTCGAGTAGTTGCCGCGTGGCTTTGTTTGCGTGGCTACGTCACGTGCAATGAACCTGGTTGCGTGGTTGCGTGGTCAATTTCTGTGCTGAGTTGTTGTGCCCCACTCTCGAAACTTCCAATTAGATGGTGTGCTGGACAGGTGAAGATTCCATCTCGACGGTGTGGATCGATCGAGAGCCACATTTCTGCTGTCGTGATCATCTGACGGTCTCGACATAACCAGCTGACAACATTCGCAGTGACGGTTGCGATGTTATCGTACGTTCATCGCAGCAGAATCATACGCCGTCATATTCATCTGACGGCTCTGGACCGTTGAGGTGTCAAGATGCTCGCACCGCACGCGGCGTGGCCAGCCGACCTCGCGCAAGCCAACCAATCAATGGATTCCGACACGTCCTTGCGCGTTTTTTTTATGCTGAAATCGCACCCCCGACGAGCAATAGGCGGTCGAAACGTTTTCGTGCAAGTTTTGAGGCCTCCAAATTCGACCTAAACCTGGTATATGAAGCGGTTTTTTCCACAGATGACAATATATCGTCGTTTAAGATGGGGGAAGTAGAAGGAACAGATTACCGGGCAGGCAATGGGCTGACCAGAAGGGTTCAGGGAGTTGGCGAGGATCTGGAGGGGGTCACGCTTCCATCGCCATTTGCAACAGAAATGACAGAAGCTGAAGCAGACGAACTCGTCAACAGCCAGCGTGCCCTCTTGCAGCACGCTCTCAAGCGCCGTGAGACTATTGCTAGCAACGCCGGCAAGAAGAAGTATACCAACACTCTCTCAGGTGTGCCTGCACCTAAGAAAAAATCCCGTGCCGCTAAGTCGTCCGGTAGGCAGAAAGGCAAGCAGGGAAAGAAGGCAGGATCTACTAAAGGCAGTCAAGCTGACTTACCTGCTCCCGCAACTACCGAGGAGGAGCTTGTCACAGAGGCGCTCCCGGACCTCCCTCTGCCCGCAAGTTTCCAGCAGCAGCAGCAGGCCGTTACGAACCCGAACCCTCCGCCCGCGAGTTTCTTGCAGCAGCTTTTCACGAGCTCGACGGCTCTGCCCGTGAGTTCCCAGCAGCAGCTTCTTTCGAGCTCTCACCCGAACCGACCTCTTCCCGCGACTCGCCAGCAGCAGACTTTTACAACTTCCCAGCGGCAGCAGCAGCAGCCTTTTGCTTCCCAGCAGCAGCAGCAGCCTGTTGCTTCCCAGCAGCAACAGCAGCCGCCTGTTGCTTCCCAGCAGCACCAGCAGCCGCCTGTTGCTTCCCAGCAGCAGCAGCAGCCGCCTGTTGCTTCCCAGCAGCAGCAGCAGCCGCCTGTTGCTTCCCAGCAGCAGCAGCAGCCGCCTGTTGCTACTACCCAGCAACAGCAGCAGCACAACCTTGAGTTTCTGGCTGACGCAACCACCGGCGCGCTGGCTGAGGATTTCTTGACGGCTGCCCGCTCCGCCTTCGACGAGGAGCTGGACGATGAGCTGGACGAGGAGGAGGACGACGAGCAGGACGAGGATGAGGAAGAGGATTATGAGGAAGATGGTGCCGAACAGCAGCAGCAGCAGGTTGCTCAGCAGCAGCAGTTTGCTCAGCAGGAGCTTGCTCAGCAGCAGCAGCTTGCTCAGCAGCAGCAGCTTGCTCAGCAGCAGCAACAGGCGGTCGTCGAACAAAATGGTGCCGTCCGCGGAACACGGTCGGAAGGTGAGTGTGTTCTTAAAACAATTGACTTTTGTTTAATCTTCCAGCTGTGATGTTATGTTTTCGTTTCATTGTTATTTCATAATTAACTCGTCGTGGGTTCCTATTTGCAGGTATCAATGCGCACTGGGTCAGAAGGAATCGCGCACTGCAGGCGCAGGTTGAAGATCTTCGCCAAACTGTTGACATCCTGCAAATTTCACAAGCCGAAGCGCAGCAGAAACTCGCCGCCGCCGAGGCCGAGTGCGAAATCCTGCGCCAACGACTGGCTCAGCTTGAGGCGCAACAGGCGGCGGAGGTACCGGAGAGGCCTCCAAACGACCCCGAGGTCAACGAGGCGATGCTCACCAAAGACAAGGATGGTAATGTCATTCCGAAGACAAGCCTACTTCCGAAGGAGTACGCTGTAAGTAACGTTTCCCCCCGGTGCGCGTCATACTTCCCCTACTCTTTGTTCATGCTTATTTTGTGGGTGATTATCGCCTGTGAACCTATACGCGGTTATATTTGATTTCTAACCTCTCTGATTTTTGTATCTCATCCCGATTGCAGGTGAAGGCGCTGGAGACCTTCACGTGGCTCATAACGGACGCGCCAGTCGAGTGCATGGAGTTCTTCCCAACGTGGGAAGTCTTCCAACCTCATCTCATCACGAAGTACCGACTGTGTGGAGTGAATCGAGACGAGTTCTTCTACGCGACTGGCGGCAGAATCGAGTTCGAGAAGCTGGCGACGAAGGTAATCAAAACAAAACGCAGCAACACGCACAAGAAGATTCGACTCTACGCATGGGGTGCGGGTGGGTTGTTGGACGAGAGCAAGTGGCCGTTGCTAGCGGTGGAGATGATCATCCCGTCAATGAAACGCTCGGTAGCGAAGTGGCTGGAAGACTTCAGGCATGGTAAGGAGCTCTGTTTTAATGTTTTTTCTTCTATTTTTTAAACGAAGCTGACAAACTTTCATGATCTGTTATGTGCAGCTGTACTTGGCTTTTCATGGCATGTCAATGGTGAAGGTGTTCCCTTCGCCAACATCGCTTTTGAGAAGGCAGCCCTTGCTGCGTTCTCCACTGTTACGTCCAATCTGGTGCTGCTGAAGATCCCTATGCTGGCATACCTGTGTGTTGTGGTAAGTTCAGCATGTTCAGCAACATTGTTTTTCTATGTGTTTTTCCCACCTGTCACAAACATTAGCTAACCATTTACCCACTGATACATGCAGGTCGAAGCCCCCCTGCAAAGCTTCAGGCCGGGGAGGGGCCAGCCTTCCCTGGATGGGGTAGGCTCTACCAATAGCAACTACGTCCGCGCCAAGACTAATGTGATCGTGGGGGCGCTTCACGATGCGATGCAGAACAACCCCACAATCTTGCAGCGTGATGAGCCCAAGGGGTTGGTGCTTGGTTCTGGGTGTGTGCGTATTCTCATTGAGGGGTGGGAGCGTGTGTTTCTGTAGTGGTTTCTTGTAGGTGTAGTACCGGTATAGGGTTTGTAGTGCTAATTTGAACGTCCGTTTGTACTATTTCTAATTATTGTAGTTTTCTAATTTAATTGAGATTTAATTGAGATCTATACATGTTTATGAATCTGCTTTTGCGTGGATAAATCGTAACCCCGTTGCTGTAACAATACATGGTAACTTTGTTACTGGGTTATGTTCATATTCAGTTACAACTCATGTTACCAAGTTACTTTCATAATCTAAATGTTTCACAATTTAAATGAAGTTCGGTTTAGAATACTCGATTGAAAAGTAACCATGTACTTCTATAACAGTTACAGATGGTAACATTCGCGCTCAGCGTTTTTCGTATTCCACCACTTTGACGATCGTAAACGGTCGTCTGCAGCCGTTTACTACCACCAACTCGCCAGATATTGGGGGTGACGTGGATCGCGGTTGGCCCCTCAGCTCGTTTCCCACTCAACCTTCCCCTTTCGCGAACTGTCGTAAACTACCGCCCAAACCCAGTCAACCCCGGTTAACGCTCGGACACTGTAGCTGAACAATCGGGGATATATGCTGGTTCCGACACCCCCCCGTTTTCCAAACACAAAGGGCAATACCCTTGGTGGTTAATTGCCGGGGGGGTCAATCACGGTAACCACAGCACAAACGAGGCACAAGAAGGCGTTTACGACACAATACGCCTTCTACATTTTTCTGATGGAAGAAGGCGGCCTTGAGGGAAGCATGGGTAAACCGCCTTCAGAGGAAGTTCTGCACGAAAACCTGTTCTGGTTGCATCAGTTTCCAAGGCGATACGTATCACAACCGCTTACAGAGCGGTAGGCTTGCGATAGCGCGTGTACATATTGGCGGAGAGGTCTCAAGATGCAGCATTCGTGACGGAACCAGAATCTCGTAAGACAATGTTTATCACTAAAATCGAGTAGGATCTTCTAATCGAGTAGTATTTCTTGCTCTATCGCACATGGCATTCGAGGCTAGAGTTAGAATCCCAACTGACCTCATTCAATGCGACTCTGAAAAAAAACAGGAAACCCTAATCGATAGGCACTTCCTCAAGTTTTGAATCCTCTTGTCGCATATGGCGTTCGAGGTCAGATTTCGAATTCCAGCTGATCTGATCCGACGCGGATCGGACAATATAAATGACGCCATTAGCAGGGGTGGGTGCAGCAGCCGTAGTGACGTCAGCGGTCAGTCACGTCATCCGAGGAAGACTCTGAAAATAGCAAATCCACGTCACACGTTGTCGTTGCTGTTACAATTTCACCTACGGAGCTTCTTAGATCAGTCTTCAACAGACTGTTTCAGACACATCTGCCACAATGCTGCTTACCATGCGAGACGCGTCTGCAGCCGGGAGCAGACGTTGGGGTGAAACCGGGGATGGATCTTGTTGCTCGGACGCAGCAGCAGCAAGTTCGCTTCATGGTTTTTGGGCAGGTAGCGTACCTTTCTCCTCAGGCAACAGTACAGCGAGCCAAGTTAAAAACGGGTACAACCATCCTAGTTTTCCCCGTGAAAGCAGTGGATCATGGAGTCGGCTTCGGTGAAGTTGAATCAGCAGGCGATGCAGCAGGTATGAATGGCCCAGCTGCAGCGCCTTCGGTGGACTTGCCTCTTGTTGCCGCTACTTCTGCTGCTCCTGCTGCGGCTACTGATGCTGCTGCTCCACCCTTCGGAGCAAACGCTGCTTTACCGGCTGCTGCTTTGCGTCCTTCTGCTGCTGCTGCCGTGGCAGCACCAGGTGCTCCTCCCACTCGCCGTATCGACTATAGCAAATGGGACCATTTCCCGTCCAGCAGCGACGAGGAGGAGGAGGAGCAGGAGAAGCGGAAGAAAGAAGGAAAACAGGGTAGTAGAAGCAATGGTGGGGGGAAGGCCAATGTCCACATCTTTTCTGCTGGCGCTGGCACTTGGGTACCTCAGCTTGTTGGAACGCCATGGGATGGGTTGAGGATTGAAAACGCTCAAGAGTCCCAAGAGGAGCCGGGGAGAGCGGCAATTGTGAAAGGGCGGAAAGGAGAGGGACCAAAGAGGCCAGGAGCTGAGGACTCAGAGAAGATTTGGCTGCTGTGTCGGGACGACATGGTCCACTACTTGGACGTGAGGGACGCATGGGGCGTGGCTGTGTGCGAGTGCTGCTTCGACCGTGCTGTGAGCCAGCGCACACAGCACGCCCTCATCATGAGCAGCCTTAAAGACTTCCGCTCCTACGTGCAATCGCAACAGCCTGCGTCTGTCCCGCTCGCTCCCAACCGCCAGGCCCGGGGTGTTTATGATTTTTCGTTGAAGGTTACCCTGCCGGAGCCAGCAGCGAAGCTGGAGGTGTCCCCTCATGGGCAATTTTTACTGAAGTGCGAAATGGCCCCTTTGCTCTGTGTGGAAGCGATGCTCCTCGAGTGGATGGCTGAGCCTCGTGTGGGCGTGCTCATGGACCTGGGGAGGATCAGATCCCGCCTGCCTGCAATCATGGCTGCTACAGATTGCTCAGCTATTCAAGCTTCCCCTGCTGTTGTTGCCTCTGTGGCACCAACAGAGGCTACAACCTGCCCGGGGATTTTAGCTGCTTTTGCCCCTGCTGCTTCTCCTCCTCCTCCGCTTGCTGAAGCTGCTGCTCCTCCTGCTGCTCCCCCGGCTGCTGCTGCCCCTCCTGCTGCTGCGGCCGTTACAGCGTGGTCTTGCTGCTGGCGTTGCAGCAGCTGCTGGGCTGCCTACCGCCGTGCTGTCAGCTTCGCTGCCTACCTCGTTCTTGTGGCAAGGAGCTCGCGGTTTGTGACTCTATGCAGAGCCCATGCGTCAGTTTCAAAGGCCTATCCAGCCATTGTGACTGCGCTAGGGGCAGGCAGGCAGAAAGAGACTGACACCTTCGCTTCCATTCTGGTTCAAATCCTCGGGGTGAAAGAAACCGGGGACCTTGAGGAAGGATTCAGTATTCTCATGCAGAATCTGCTGTCAGGCGGGCTGGACAAGGCGCATGCAGGGCGGAAGGGGGGAGCAGGCAGGGACATGGAGGAAGGATGTGGTAGCTTCATGCAGAATCTGCTGTCAGGCGGGTTGGAGAATGCACACGCAGAGAGAAAAGGGAGAGGCGGGAGAGGAGCTGTAGGAGGTGGGGGTGGAGGAGCGGAGCAGATGGAGAAGGATTTGGAAGGGTCCTGGAGGATCATGGACGGCGGTGGCAAGGATGGGAGGAATGGGAAGGGTGCTCAGTGGAGGGAGCATCTGAAGGGGTGTGTGTGGGAGAGTTATGTGGATGGCATGGTGTCGCGAGTTCTATTGAACAGAGAAGGGAGTGTATATACTGTATATTTGTCCAGGTATCGCAGCACTTGAACACCGAGGACGGGGAGCGAGGTTCGGATGATGGCTCGGCGAGGAGGGCTGCTAAGTCAGCAAACCGTCGCATGAGGAGAGTGGGGAGGGGTGACAGCTGGAAGGAGCTCTTGTTTTGTGTGAAGCGTGCATGTTTCGTTTCCTTGCAGGTTGAATGCCCGAGCCAGCTGGATTTACAGGCACGAGCTGGAGGTCAGGCAGCAGGGCGGCTAAGTGGCAGTGGCAAGAGGATGGAAGGTTGGCCATTCGCTCTGGCAGAAGGCCATCACCTTCAAGGGGTTCTAGAGGCATAGCAATAGGGGGAGGAGGCAGGCTTGGATATAGGGGGGTACGGGTGTTAAACTCTGTATTGTTTGTATGTTCTGTAATACTCATGTGATTTCCTCAGAAGTCGCGTGTGAGTTAGCGTCAGGCCATAACAAACCCTGGAAGTATGTAGGAAGCGATGTGGGCAGCTCTCGTTAGCAGATGTGAGTAAGCTGAACGAGCTTCCTACATACTTGAGCCGGAAGTAGGAGTAAACTGTAATACCCATACATGTAGGAGTAAAGGCAGCCGGAAGGTTACACCAAGCCAGAGATAAGGGAAGTAAGCATTACAGAAGACATGACTGAGAAGGGGTCAAGGAGTGAGGGAACAGAGTACCAGGGAGGGGAGAAGCACCAGAGAGACATGGAAGAGGCACAGGGACAGAGAGAGGTAAGGGAATTTCCGACAATGGCTTGGATTTTGGAGCATGGAGGTGGGGAACGGAGGGAGTTCAGGTGCAGCCACTGCAGTGAGGAGGGCAGCAGTAGCAGCAGCACTGGTGGCGGTGGCAGCAGCAGCAGTGTGGGTGCGACGAAATTTCCCAAGGGCATGTATTTGAGTGGCGTGGGTGCGACCGACTTTGCTCTTTCCGTTGCTGCTGTGCTGTCGAAGCCACAATACTGCAAGGAGAGTGACTTTTATTTCCAAGACGGGAACACTGCGAGCAAGACAAGGGTTGAGGATGCAGCTATTGAGACGGCCAGGGAGAGGCTGCAACGGAGTCCACGGGGTGAAGGAGGGGCAGCAAGCAGAGGTGTGGGAACAACAGCATCAGCATCACACCCTGCAGTGGTAGCAGCAATTGCCAACACTCCTGTGAATACAAACCCTGTCGTTGCAGTCTTCACGTATCGTGCTGCCCGCATATTGCAGTGGGCCCGGACCTATGGGTCTGAACTCATCCCCACTAGTCAATGCTGCAAGGACAGCCCCCAGGAGAAGGTCCGGCACATGCGCCACCCGCTTCGGGACCTTCCGAGCCTGCTGGTCAGGCTCGGCGCCATCCCCAAGCCTCTGGACCAAGGTGAGTTCCCCTTGGAGTGGGAAGAGTGGACTCGTGGCGATGAAGCTGCCGGGAAACTTCCTGATGACGCCAATGCGAGATTCTTTCACCTGGGGATTGTGGAGGAAGCGAGGGGGACAGCATGGGAGCGTGGGGCAGGAGAGAAGGGCGGACAGGGGTCAAATGCAGGAGGCAAGACTGAGACCGCGAAGGGGAAAGGAGGAGACAAAAGGAGGGGCAATCGGGAGGGAAGGAGCAGAGGGAGTGGGGAAGAAGGTAGAATTAAGGGATTGGGGAGGAGCGAAGACGATAGGCTGCTACATCAGCCGCTCACAGGACTGGTGCCGCTAGTGCAGAGGAAAATCCCCATCGTCTGCTGCATTGCTGATGCCGAAATCCTAGTGGAGTTCGCCGGGTATCTGGTCAAGCCACCTGCATGCGCTCACTGCAAGCAGTGCCTTGGTGTCTATAGCCGTCGCATGCCCTTCCTCATGGTCCTCACCAACTACGCCTACCGACCTGTCACCACCCTTTTCAACCGCTTTGTATCCATCTTCCCTCCTCCCTCTCCCGAATTCGACCGGCTCGCTACTCATATGGGTCTGCCGCCGTTCCCTGCCAGCCTGCCTGGCTTTCTAAGGTTACCTGTGGTGCAGGCGCGGGCAGAGCAGGTCCCGATCGCCTTTTTGCTGCAAGTGGCTTACAACTGGCCTCTCCATATCCTGGGAATGACGGACCTGAAATACGTACACATGCTGCGAGAAAGAAAGGAAGAAGACGGGAGGGTGTGGGAGGAGGTGAAAATGTGGTGCCTTGCGATGCTGTTTGCTTGGACGGGTGGGATGAAGCTCGAGGCTGAGGCATTGAGTGACACGTGCAAGGGAAGAAAGGAGCGGTCCGGTCAGGATGGAGGGGAGGGAGAGGAGATTTCGAGTGAGAAGTGGCGTGAATTCTGGAAGAGGGCTGCCGTGCCCAGGTTTTGTGAAGACTTGCAGGATGATGGTGGGCCTTCTGGAGGTGCCAGTGGAAGCAGCAAAAGCAGCGGCAGCTTTGGGAGCAGCAGCTTTAGTCGCGAAAGTGACAGACGAAGGGGAGATGATGTGAAGGACAAGAATGAGGAGGAGCCGGCGTATCTGAAGGCATGGCCGGGGGGAGTCAATCTGGTGGCATGTCTGCGAGAGATGCTGCTGGGGGAGCCGTGCTACCGCCCTGCCCCCCGTGCTGCCCCTTCCACCCCCGCTGCTCCACCCACTGTCTCTGCGCCTAACCATGCAAATGCACCCGTTTCAGTTACAGGGGGCACTGGTTCTGCTGGTGGTGGGGAGAGTGTGTGTGGTGCTGTCGGGTGTGGGAGGGTGGAAGGTGGTGCTGTAAAGCTGAAGAACTGCTCTGGGTGTGGCAAGGTGGCGTATTGCAGCAGAGAGTGCCAAAAGGCGCACTGGCCCTCCCACAAGCTCACATGCCCCGGCAGGACCAGCGGCAAGAAGAGTGGGACGGATGGGAGCAAGGATGGCAGTGGCAGTAGTGGCATGGCGATTGGCAAGGTAAGTGGGCAAGGTGGGTAGGCAAGGTGGTTACTTTTGAATCAACTCAAAAGTCACCTCGGTACGGACCATGATTGCAAGCAAAGAGGGTGTGTGAAAGCCCTCTCTTTGCTTGTACTTGGTATGCGGGTTGCTGTGCATGCTGCCGGTCATTCACCTTGTGCAGCAGTAGCTTGCGTATGGCCATACTATATGCCTTGCTCAACTTTGTTTGAGGAAGACAACTATACAATGACTTTCATTTCTCGTTCTTTTTCCTTCTGACATTTCCCCACTTTTTCTCGCTCTCCCTTCCCGCTTGTTGCACTGGCACCCTTAACCTCAATTGCTCTCCACAGGTCTAAGGGTGTGTATCTACGATCATGTGCCTGAAATGTTCGGGGCTTGCACAACGTGCTACTGTGGGGCGAAAGTGCGAGAGCACGAGGTTGACTGCCGTTCAGTGCAGTGCCGCCACTCCAACGGAGGCCGGCACTTGAATCGGATCGGACATGAGATTAGCTTCTAGTAACTGTTGAGACATGATCATCTAGAGCATCTGAATCTGGTGTTGGGATGTATGTAATACGCATGCCTCAAGAGTTGTGCCAGCTGGCGTTGCTGTCTTGGCGGTGTCGAGTTGATCTGCCATGATCTGATTCTGCCACCTCGGTGCTCCTCCTCTCCTCACCTCCATTGCATACTACAGAAATGAACCTCTGACACTTGCCTTAGAGGATGCTGAAAAAAGAACGATATAATTCTAGTGACAGATCTAAGCCATCAGTTTGTAGGTACTGTAGATAATAGTCTCTTTGGATCGTGAGATGCCTACTACTCAGCACATAATCAACAGCAACATCCGTGACAAGCAATACTGGAAGGCAGTACCAAACCTTCCAGTATCAGATGTTGCAGCACAACAAGCAACTATTATTGTCAAATAGAAAACATGTACCATATCCGACACCTCGCGCATGGTGGCAAGGAAAGCTGTTTTGTACATTCTCTTCCAATAACATTTCAGCATACCAACGCATGCAGGATGTTTGCACACAGCTTCACTTTGCAGTGGCACTACGAGAAGCGAGTTGAAGCGAATTAGATTGCGAAGCTCTCCCGGAGGGCAGCCACCTTGCACCTGGCACAGAGACATTCAGTAAGAGAGTGGGGGTGTTGATGATACGGTAAATGGTGGTGGTGGCACTGGTGGTAGGACAGAGCCGTTGTGATGCAACGTCTGCATTGAAGGGGCTGCAGGGCAGCTTGCACTTAAGAAACAAGCAACCTGCAACTTCCCGCTTCGGAATCAGAAGCGTTGCTCGGATTGGCAAGATCCAAACTAGCCATTACAGGGTTACCATTTGACCAAACTTCCCTGAATATTCTCATCTTATCCAGAATTTTTTCATACTCCTTGTACTTTCCTCATACCGCCCTACCTTTCCATGATCTTAGTATCATGATTCATGACATGCAACGGCCAGTCCGCCCAATTGATCACTGCAGGGGGGGTGATTGAGGAGCGGCAATGCCATGGGCAACCATAGCAGCACAAATCAGGTGATCTTGGCGGGTGGCTCAGGTTGGTGACTCAGGTGAGTGACTCAGGTAGGTGGCTCAGGTGGGCGACTCAGGTGGGTGTGTCAGTTGGGTGACTCAGGTGGTTGACTCAGGTAAGTGACTCATGTGGGTGGCTCAGGTGGGCGAATCAGGATAGAAACTCAGGTGGGTGACTCGGGTGGTTGACTTAGGTGGGTGACTCAGGAGGGAGACTCAGGTGGGTGGCTCAAGTGGGTGAATCAGGTGGGTGGCTCAGGTGGGTGACTCAAGTTGGTAAATCAAGTAAATGACTCAAATAGTGAGTCAGGTGGGTGTCTCAGGTGGGTGACTCAGGTGGGTGGCTCTCATGGGTGATTCAGGTGGGTGACTCATGTGGGCGAGTTAGGTACGTGGGTGATTCAGGTTGGTGACTCAGGTGGGCGACTTAGGTGGGTGACTCTGGTGGGTGACTCTGGTGGGTGACTCAGGTAGGTAGCTCGGGTGGGCAGCTCAGGTGCCATAACAAGAGTGTACGGAATAGAGAAGTGCAGATTTTTGGGCACTAGGGAAGCAGAATAAGTCTCACGCGTGTGTGCTTGCATAACATCAAAGGTACAGGCGGAATTGAGGTGAATAGTGAGTATGTGGTGCATTTGGTTTGGTGCCCGTATGAGTGCCCTAGTAATGCTGTAGTTGGGGTATGCAATGCTATGAACATATTATATTTGTACTATGGGCATGGGTCCAGTCACGGGTGTGGCAATGAGTAGTGCTACAGTAGTGCGGCAGGGCGTGTGCATGCCACAAACCACAACCTTCTTACATAACTCACCATGCGGGATCAGAACTTGAAAGGCCTACAAGGGAACCTTGGGCCTTGGAGCCGAAAAATGCTCTGCCTCCTCTTCTTCATCACCCCCCTCCACCCCTTCCCACAACATCCTGACAGCCTCATCAGCAGCACCTAAGTACTATCATGGGTCCAGAATTGAACGGGATCTGCACTCTTCACCCCCACATCTGCACGCTGGTGGAGGTGCGCGAGAGGGTGCAGGCGAAGCTGGGCTGCCAGTTACCCCGTGGTCGTCTCCCTCTTGAAAGACGAGCAGCGGGAGAAGGAGGTGCGTGATGAGAAGTTTTTGGGCGAGTCATGGGTCACCTGGTCAGTAGCCAGCGAAGCTAGGTGGGCTGCTGGTTGACCCATGGCAGCTATTTTGCATGGACGAGCAGAGGGAGAAGGAGGTGGGTGTTTTGAGGGGTATTTTTGAGTGAAGCTATTCGGCTGCTTGGTAGGCACTTGCGAGTCTGGGAAACGGGTGAGGCGAGGCATGGCTGGGCTGTTGGATGTCCTGTTGCCGTGTCCTCCTGCAAGGCACGCAGAGAGAAAAGGAAGTGGGCTGTAAAGGTCAGTTCCTCATTGCTGGCTGACTGTTGGGTCACTCTCGGGTCAGTCCCAGGTCACTCTCAGGTCAGTCTCAGGCCAGACGCACTAAAGGCTCAATTCCCCATGCCTGGATCCCCTGTGCCTGAACCCCATGTGCTTGAATTCCCCGTGCCTGGATCCCCTGTGCCTGAACCCCATGTGCTTGAATTCCCCGTGCCTGGATCCCCTGTGCCTGAACCCCATGTGCTTGAATTCCCCGTGCCTGGATCCCCTGTGCCTGAACACATGTGCTTGAATTCCCCGTGCCTGGATCCCCTGTGCCTGAACCCCATGTGCTTGAATTCCCCGTGCCTGGATCCCCTGTGCCTGAACCACATGTGCTTGAATTCCCCGTGCCTGGATCCCCTGTGCCTGAACCCCATGTGCCTGAATTCCCCGTGCCTGGATCCCCTGTGCCTGAACCCCATGTGCTTGAATTCCCCGTGCCTGGATCCCCTGTGCCTGAACCACATGTGCTTGAATTCCCCGTGCCTGGATCCCCTGTGCCTGAACCACATGTGCTTGAATTCCCCGTGCCTGGATCCCCTGTGCCTGAACCCCATGTGCTTGAATTCCCCGTGCCTGGATCCCCTGTGCCTGAACCCCATGTGCTTGAATTCCCCGTGCCTGGATCCCCTGTGCCTGAACCACATGTGCTTGAATTCCCCGTGCCTGGATCCCCTGTGCCTGAACCCCATGTGCCTGAATTCCCCGTGCCTGGATCCCCTGTGCCTGAACCACATGTACTTGAATTCCCCGTGCCTTGATCCCCTGTGCCTGAACCACATGCGCTTGAATTCCCCGTGCCTGGATCCCCTGTGCCTGAACCCCATGTGCCTGAATTCCCCGTGCCTGGATCCCCCGTGCCTGAACCCCATGTGTTTGAATTCCCCGTGCCTGGATCCCTTGTGCCTGAACCCCATGTGCTTGAATTCCCCGTGCCTGGATCCCCTGTGCCTGAACCCCATGTGCCTAAACTCCCCGTGCCTGGATCCCCCGTGCCTGAATTCCCCGTGCCTGTATTCCCCGTGCCAAGAATAATTCAGCCAGGCATGATTCAGCCAGGCATGATTCAGCCAGGCATGACTCAGCCTGGCACGATTCAGGCAGGCATGATCGATTCAGCTAGGCATGATTCAGCGAGGCATGATTCAGGCAGGCATGATTGATTCAGCCAGGCATGATTCAGCCAGGCATGACTCAGCTAGGTATGATTCAGCCATGCATGATACAGCCAAGCATGATTCAGCCAGGCATGATTCAGCCAGGCATGAATCAGTCAGGCATGATTCAGCTAGGCATGATTCAGCCAGGCATGATTCAGCCAGGCATGATTCAGCCTGGCATGATTCAGGCAGGCATGATCCAGGCAGGTATGATTCAACCAGGCATGATTCAGCGAGGCATGATACAGCCAGGCATGATTCAGGCAGGCCTGATTCAGGCAGGCATGATTGATTCAGCTAGGCATGAATCAGCCTGGCATAATTCAGGCAGGCATGATTCAGCCAGGAATGATTCAGGCAGGCATGATTCAGGCAGGCATGATTCAGCCAGGCATGATTCAGCCAGGAGTGATTCAGCCAGGCATGAGACAGGCAGGTATGATTGATTCAGCCAGGCATGATTGTTTCAGCAAGGCATGATTCAGCCAGGCATGATTCAGGCAGGCTTGATTCATGCAGGCATGATTGATTCAGCTAGCCATGAATCAGCCAGGCATGATTCAGGCAGCATGATTCAGGCACGCATGATTCAGGCAGGCATGATTCAGGCAGGCATAATTCAGGCAGGCATAATTCAGGCAGGCATGATTCAGCCAGGAATGATTCAGGCAGGCATGATTCAGGCAGGCATGATTCAGCCAGGCATGATTCAGCCAGGAATGATTCAGCCAGGCATGAGACAGGCAGGTATGATTGATTCAGCCAGGATGATTGTTTCAGCAAGGCATGATTCAGCCAGGCATGATTCAGGCAGGCTTGATTCATGCAGGCATGATTGATTCAGCTAGGCATGAATCAGCGAGGCATGATTCAGGCAGCATGATTCAGGCACGCATGATTCAGGCAGGCAT